AAACTGTGAAAGCAATTAGTTACTTTACTTATTAATACAATTTTCAATAAATCCCTAAAGTTGAAAGCCTGTGGTAACTTGAAACTGTTATGTTAAATAAGTCTGGCACCAGATCCAAAATTAGGCATTTTCGGTGACACCTCAGAAATAGGAGATAAATATATGTCACAGGCAGTATCTTTGTGTATGATATTAGCAAAGAAAATAATATTACAAAATTGGAAGTCAGATTATGTGCCTGTCTTCGAAATTTGGGTTAGGAGCTTAAGTTACGTGTTGCCCATGGAGGAAATGCAATATGGGATGGCAAACAAACTAAACACATTTTTAAAAATCTGGAGCCCAATTATGTTTTATATCAGTAATGCTCACTTGTAACTCTTTATAAATGAGATTGGTCTGGAGTAAGTCGAATTGTGGAGCCTTTGCATTTCTCTGTAAATTATTTTTGTTTCATATTTAATTCTATTTATTTTCTTATGCTTTCTGGAGGATGTATTATGTTGTTTCTGACTATTTGTGTATTTAAAAAATGGCCTTTGTAACCCCCTCTTATTTTTATTTTTATTTTTTTTATGTATTTTTTTTTTGTTCTGTTTAGGTTATTGATTATTTCTTATGCTAAAAACAATAAAAATATTATATAAAAAAAGAAACTGTCATGCTAACTTGATTTTATTTTTTTATAATTATGCACAGTTCATTTAATTAATAATTTTAACAAGTTTACTCACTTTTTAGATAGTCAACTATTTTATTATAGTCTTATATTATATTATTGCTGTATATTATTGCTTCATACACTGTAATATTTTCCTAAACACTGATTTCTTTTCTCCATTTTATGTTTGACAAATAACTTTAATTTATAACAATCAGACAGCATTTTAAAAATTCTGTAAGGATATTTGTCACAGCTGAAGGTAAAACATAGCATATGTACAACAGAAGCTACTATTTTGCTTTAATGTTATATAACTGTTGGCAAATTTTATTTGGTGAAACAAGTATAAATAAAATCATACAATTCTGAAATATTTGAATTTATTAATTGCAAATCGATTAACATCTGGCAGTTTTTTGACTGATTGAAAAATAAAAAATATGATATTCCCCCCCTTATTTTTCAGCTGAGAAAGTGAACTTGAGAGGATGTGCCAATCTCACCTTAGTCTTGGATAATTGGAAATATGCCATCATGACCCAAGTCAAAGACCTTCTCCTGAATGACCACAACACCGTGTTACCAGACTATGGAAGGTATAATAAATGTGATTTCAACAAAAGCTGACTTTCTTTATGACGATAAGGAGATACACGTATAATTTTTATCTTGATTATTCTGCAGATATTATTATTATACAAAAGGACTGAACTGTATTGTTGTCTTTTTAGGATCCAGCCATTATCTGAAGCTCTAAACGACCTCTACAAGGAATTTAACTCCTTGAAAGAAAGACTAGCAGAGCTGACCACTAAGTTTGAAGGCATAGAGTTGTTTGTGGATGAAGCTCGGAGCGGCAGGAGTCACTCACCTCCTCGAGCACATCCTGAAGGAGACACAAATCCAGTGGACTCTGGAACAAGACAGGGACGCAGGAGCAGGGTGGTGGTGCGTAGAGTTAAAAAACCTGATAATACACAAGTTTAGTACTGTTGTAGTACTACTACAAGATGTATTGTACATTATAATGATGGATTTGGATAAAATTTGTTTTGTTGTCTTTTAGAACATGTATTGGTCAAGATCAAGTCAGCGTCTTTAGTGGACTTCACTTTTTTTTCCATTAAGTTTAATGGTTTTCAAATAACTTTTAATTCATTGTCCTCCATTTTTGTTTACTTTGTCTGTTTCTGTAAGAGTAAAAACCTTATAATTTACAAGTTCCATAATGGGATTTAATAATTTAGCCTACATTGTTTTATGATTAGTAGACTACTGTTTATCAAGTGCTTTAATGTTTCAATGTTTTTTTATGTTCAGTTTCTGTCATTATTTCATTTAAGGTTATTTGTTCTCTATTTTCTGTTCATTTTTCTTTTTATTCTTAAAGAAATAAAACATTTTCTTTTAATAATAGTTCTTACTATTGTCTAGGATGTTTTTGGAAGATCCCTCGGCTTAATTCAGAGATGCCCAAATGGTAACCTTTAAATTGGCCCCCTTTCCCATCTGAGAATGGTTTAGAAATTGTCGTTTCAAATTTAATGTAACCTTAAATTTAAATTTAAAAATTAAGCTTAAAGTTATCTGAATTTAAATGTTTCATTGTAAGTGGTGTAAATTAATCTGATTTTGTTGAAATGCCTTATGTCAGGCCCGTAGCCAGCCTGGTAAAAGAGGTGGTACCTTTTTTTTCTCAAAAAGTGGACCTTTTTGCAGTTATACGCCTCAGTTTCTATTTAACTATGAGATTTAAATACTGCATTTTAGTGGGGGGCGGGGGGGTCAACTAGTCAGATGTCATAATAACCACACTTTAATGTACTAAAAATATTTCCTAAAAAATTGCAATAAAAAATTAAAACAAGACTTTTTTAAAATTCAAATTTATTACATCATATATAATTAGAAAAAAGTAAAAAAAAAAAAAAACCTGTAGCCCACTATCATTTATTAGACAGCACATTTAACTGTCCTCAGTCACAATTTGGCCATTTCAATAAACAAATCATTAAAACATAATAATAATAATAATAAAACAATAACCTCTTTGGTAAAAAAAAAAGTACATTTGAATATTCTTGGATATCAACAATAGCCAAAATATACTCAAATTTATTTAATATGGTTTTAATATGGTATTATTATAACATGGTATTATTTAATGTTATTGCTCAAGTTTATTTCAGAAATAAGGTCCAAGATTTAGAATTAAATTTCGCTGTAAAATGTTTTCTCTGTTTAAAAACAATACAGTAGTGAAAGAAGACTTCTCTTACATCAGATTATCGTCCCAGTCCCACTGAAGCAACAGCCAACAGAGGATTCCGTTTGGTCTTAAAGCCTTTTTCGATGGATTATTTTCATTATTTATGATGGCTTAGCAGTCAAAGTAGGACAAATGAGCGGTTGGGTCTTCCGAACTCTCCTGGCTACAGACCTGAAAAGCCAGAACATGTTTATGCTTATAGTAAACATGTTTTTAATAGAATTTTGGCTGTAAAAGTGCACCTACAGATGTTTCAGGCGCAGGGCAGTTTTTTTCCAGGTCATAATTTATTTTGTATATAGTAATTTTGTCTAAAAAAAGGTTTCATCTGGAATGCATGTCAGATCACCTTCTGAAGTGGTTTGAGCGATTGGATATCTGATCAGAATAATACAACAAATGAAGTAAGCAAACTGGCTTAAAAACACAGACGTGACAAGAATATATATTAAATATAAATATATTAACTATATAATAAATATATTATCTAATATTAAATTACATCAAATAATCAAAAGGACAAATGCTTGACCTTTTGGCCGTGGGTAGCAAGTAACATGCTATTAAGTTATGTGACCGCTAGATGGCGATCTTGGATAATAAGCTTACCACCATTAGGAGTTGGTCAGAGCAGTGCGTTGTTGTCCTAGCCGGACTCACTTTCTGTTCTAATGTCCCGCATCTGTCTTTAATTATATACATCTGTCTCAATACTCTACTGCATCCCAGAATATTACACAGCACCAAAAATGTACAAATATAGATTCAATATATTTAATATTTGTTTTGTCCACAGTCGACCGCGACACACCGTGACATAGATTCCCGAGCCTGTGTGCTACAATGAGGTGTGCTCTATTTAGCTCTACCATGACAACGAGACTCAGCAGTGACGTCGCCATGTAAAGATTTGCATCTGCATTCCTATAAAGCTCGTCGGTTCTCTCTCAGCGCTCTCAGTTCGCTCGGTGTTGTACTTGACCAAGGTGAGTTCAATACCTGACAGTAGGAGTGGAGCCACTCCAATATCACGAAGTCCGCTGTGCACTCCATGGGGTGAGGCGGCTTGTGAGCCCTGGGCAGGTAACAATACAAGCCCCGAGGACCTTCAGGGAAACACGGGAGGCCGGTAGTGGGACCCCGCTGCGAGGGATATGGTAGGTGGGCGCAGCAGGGCCCACTTGTCTATTTTAAACGATAGTTTCAAACTTTAGTTTACTATAGTTTAAAATAGAAACCATGGCAACTGTAATGTTTTAACTGTATGTCTGGCTGTTGTAATGTTTTGCTTTGTTTTTCAGCAGAGTTGTTCAGCAAAGAAGGACTATTGAAGACAACCGCGGGTTATATTCATGAGCGCGCGCATTATAATGTTTCCGTGCTGTTTTCTGAAAGTTTATGTTGTTTAGATAAGTTTGCAGGTCAAACAAAATAAACTATACTCTTTCTTAACACCTGTCTCGTGTTTTATTTGTCCTCTACACCAATACACTGTCATAAAAGTCTGCTGAACGCATTTGAATGCAACATGGTTTGACAGTAAGTTAGTCTAACAAATAAATAGTTGTTATAAATGTACCTTCATTAGTCAACATTTGGTTGAAGATGTAGACATAACGTTAATCGTAATGTTACGGTTGTTAACTGTATTTATTATTCTGTATGTTTTAAACCAGCATATTTAATATGTCATGAACTTACTGTTATTCAAAAATTTGGTTAATAAAAATGTCATAAGACAAGATGGGTATTGTTTTGGTTTTATGTCAAACTACTGTAGGTTTTAGGTTGAATACAGCAAATATGAATTAGGAATTACCCATGGCTATCACATATATATATATATATATATATATATATATATATATATATATATATATATATATATATATATATATATATATATATATATATATATATACTTTTTTGCCGTTCATACGAAAAAGTTTAGGCACCCCTGGCTTAATCATTTAGCTAATGAATAATTAATTACGTTGTGAAAGGTTCACCTCAGTTGGCTCAAAACCTACCTCTTAGTGCCAATGTTAGGGCGGACATTAGGATAATCATTCTGGGAGTTCAAAACAAAAATACTGAAATTCTTTGAAAACTACATTATTATAGTCGTCAATATACAGCATAACAAAGCTAAAAACATTGTCTTAGTCTGAAACCAAAGACTTAATTATATCCAACAGTTGATATGGATGGTTTTGGTATGTTTACAATGACGTTATCAATGTCGGTTATATTTTGACTTCTGCGTAATCTGCAAGGTAAATAAACGGCAGGTTTTTAAAGTTTGAGATCAAGATTTTACAAAAGATCCCGATTACATATGTGTTAACGAGGAAGTTAAAACAGGACGAGATTCAGGTAGGTGTCAGCTTTAGCTTAATCGTCAGATTTGAATACATTTTACGTTATTTAGGGTTTTGATATGTAGCGCTCTCTAGTGGCGGCGTTTCTCTGCAGTCGGTTTATTGCTGTCCGTGTTTTGTGGGTCAGTCTTGTTATGAAGTAAAAGTAAATAAAACAAATAAAAAAGTTTGCCATAGAGTATGACCGACTTAGACGTGAGGGGGTCAACAAACATAGGCTAAATTTGATTTCACTTTTATCGAAATAAAAAATAGGCCTATGCTTTAAGATTAAATCAACAAAAACATGGAAATTGATGAAGAAAAACTTGATTGATTACCAATTAGAACAATCGTGACAAGCAAACATGAATTTAACTCCAATGTACCACTTAGGGCTCATTAAGTATGTCTTCAATCATATTTTCTCCTTTAGCTTTCAAAATGGAGATGACATATCAACAGAAAATTGAGTCGGGCCGCTGGTGTAAGTTTTCAGAAAAAGCTGTGGTACATGATGACATCCCACCTGATCCTTCACTGGCCTTAGAATACATAGACAGAGGAACATGTCATGTGGGCACACAGTTCTCTAAGTTTTGGTCACAGCATGAGGTAAGCGAAAAAATTAATAAATAAAATAAAAAATGTTGAGGGAGCTTGTCTTGATGTTACTTTTACATGCAAAAGTATTTACATACTTTTTTCTGATCAGTATTTTTGTTATGTTTTAATATAAAATATCCAAGCATTCTTACAACAAATAACTGCCAGAAAGATACAAAAAATAAACAATGAGAAAATAAAATGAACTATATTCATTTATCCATGCCATGCTCTGGACGTGTTTGTTAAACTCTCTGTTTGACCCACTCAGGTGACTCCATTCCACACTGAACAAGTCTCACATGGAATGAACCATGTTGAAGGTGGTTGGCCAGAAACAATCAGTGCTAACAATGATGAGCTGACTCTACGCTACAGAAAGAAAGTGCAGAAGGATGAGTCTTATCAGCAGACAGTTATTGAGACTGTTTCTGTAAGTGACAACATCTTAAAAACAATTGCCCTTAAAGTCTGTGTGAAATCAAAATTGCCACTGTTTTTTTTTTTTATAGCACACATTGTTAGTCTTAAGATGAAAAATTTATCTGTGCAAGTTTTGTTGATCTTTAATCAAAATCTGATAATTTGCTTTGACTTTCTATGATGATGTTAGTTTGACTGCTGGGGTAAAATATGCTTAGCCACGCCCCTCTAACCGTTTCCAGCAAATGGATGATGGATGATGGAGGAACTCAAAAATAAAACCCCACCCCTACTCTGTATTCCGTTTTCGAAATATTTTATTAAACTGTATTAAAAGTCTGCAGCATCTTCCGGTTCACAAATTTGTACTGGGAAACACACTCACATTCACACACTTATTCACTGCAGCAAATTTAGTTCATTCGATTAAACTTTAGTGTATGTCTTTGGACTGTGAAGGAAACTGGAGCACCCAGAGGAAACCCACACCAACATGGGTAGAACATGCAAACTCCACACAGAAATGCCAACTGGCTCAGCTAGGACTCGAACCAGCGACCTTCTAGCAGTAAGGCGACAGTGCTAACCACTGAGCCACCGTGCCGCCTAAGAACAACATAAGTGTATAATAATGACTAATATTTAATTTTAGATAGTCAATGGATTAATTTGGTTTCAGCTTTTATCTTTCTCAAAACTGCTCATTAAATTACTTGTATTTATTAGGTGCTCTTAAATAGAAATCATGAAGTGAATGCAATTCTATCTGAGGCTTTCCTTCCTGTCATCTACAGGTTATGGAAAATTACAAGCAGAAAGTCTTTGAAAAGTCCCAAGTTTATTTCAAAGATAACAGAGTGGTGGTCAAAAGGGAGGACATGGCATCAGCAAGGATCATAAATGTGCTCAGGTAAGCACACACATTAAGTGGCCTATCATACACCCAGCGCTATAAGGAGCAAGACCTGTTTGCCTCAATGTGTTTTTATTTTCAGACCAACACAACCTTAATTTTCCCGTTTTCCACCACGTTGTTTAAATAGCAAATCCATTTGCCACACTTTGAGGACTCATGGGTGTTTCGGTCTAGAAAAGAGGTGTGTTAAGGCGCATTGTTGGTACGTTGCTATTTTGAGTAACTAAAATAGACTGCGCAATAGACCAGCTGAAAGCAGGACTAAAGTCCAGCGCAGAGTTGTGATCCTCGCTTACCCATTGCTTGAAACACACAGAATGTACAGCAAGACACAAATGTCTTTACAACTAAAAAGAATTAAAGGATTAAAATATTACAAAAATGATTATTTTCTACATAAATATAGAAACCACTTCCTTTTTTTGCCTTCTTAATCTCGGTGGGGCATTTTTCAGTTTATTCATTTAGTTTATTTGCTTTTGTATAATGTTATTATTATTAGTAATAGTATTTATTATATGCATATTTATATTTGTTTTAATAAAAACAAGCTTATATGTGTCCACCTGTCAGGTTTTGGACCATATGGGGCATTGCATGTGTATTAGGATATAACACATCATTTTTATTGTTCGTTTATTTGCTGGTAATTAGAACTGAATTTAGAAATAGTTTTAAAAGAAATCTTTGGGCTTAACAAACAAAATGAATTATGTAGGCTAATGGATGTCTGTGCGTACAACATGTTTCCTAATCCACAAAAGAGAGAAAATGAAAGTGAAAGTAAAGGCCAATTGGAGGAGGCTCATTCTTTATCCTCTTGCTGCAGATGGTCTGTTTAACTGTTTTCTGACTAGTGAAGCGTTCAGTTTTTCTACTTACAAAGTCCGCCATGTAAATAGCAAATGTGCCATGGCACAACGCAAATCACTCTTAAAGGGAATGGGAGATGAAACTGATTGGTTTAATGTACGTTATGCTTAAAACACACCTATTACTCATTAACAGAATAAGGCCAACCCTGTTACACAATGGGCTGCAGTGCAGAGCGTTTTTGTCCATCCTTAAAATAGCAAAAGTGGATTGGGACTTGCCCTTAATGCTTTTCCGCCCTGAGCTTTAGACTTTGCACCTAGATCATTAAAAATAGAGCCCTAAAGCACAATAGGATGACTTGGATTTCATTTGGAAGTGATTTGCCTTAGATGTCTGGATAGATAGATAGATAGATAGATAGATAGATAGATAGATAGATAGATAGATAGATAGATAGATAGATGGATGGATGGATGGATGGATGGATGGATGGATGGATGGATGGATGGATGGATGGATGGAGGGAGGGAGGGAGGGAGGGAGGGAGGGAGGGAGGTATGGATAGTAGATTTTTCTGAGTGTGATTTTTCCATAGAGACCCAAAAAAAGAGAAGCGTGCAGCCACCAGCTTGTCCTGGCACCCAGTTGATAATCATAAACTAGCTGTGGCCTACTCTTGTGTGGAATTTCAAAGAGGACCCAAAAACATGAGCTCTGACTCCTATATATGGAACATTGGTATGTCACTTCTTATACTGTCATATTTATTTTATCAACATACAGATTTTAAAAAATTATAAAACACAGCAAATCTGTAGACCACCATCACCAAATATTGATGTCTGATCTTTCCCTAAGTTACATTAGTGTATTTTGGTTTCCCAATTACAGAAAACAACAAACAGCCGGAGATGACCCTGAAATCCGTATCCCCTCTTGTTTGTCTAGAGTACAACCTCAAAAATATTAGCATCCTTATTGGGGGAAGCTACAATGGACAGATTGGTGGGTTTTTATTCTGAATTTGAATGTCATAAGCATGAATATATAAGGTAAATATGCCTTTTTAAATTTATCTGACAGATTGTACAGTCTGCTGTTTGTTTGGCATTAATTGTAAACATCTCAAATACTGAAATTGCATCTTAACTGTGCTCTAGTAAGAAAACATACTCTATTTCCAGGCTATTGGGACACACGGAGTGGCAGCCAACCAGTACAGATATCCGCTATTGAACATAGCCATAAAGATCCTGTCTACAAAGTCATCTGGCTGCAGACAAAGATAGGCACTGAAGCTTTTTCAGCTTCTACAGATGGTCAGGTCTGTGTACATTGACACCACAGTCTACAAATGCTTAAATAAGCCTGCAGTATTTCACAGCATCCTTTGAACTGAATAGCCATATTAGCAAAACTCTCAGAGTAATTAATATTACTGTTGATTCAAAGAAGTGTGTTTGACATCAGGTACTGTTCTGGGACATTCGTAATATGAGTGAGCCCACAAAGCAGCTAATTTTGGACCCCGCTAAGAGCAAAAACCTTAACAATGCATTTGGTGCATTCTCAATGGAGTTTGACAACACTATGGTAATAAAATAGTACATGTCTCATTGTGATTTGGACAATTCCATTGTGGTTACTCAATGAGAACGTAATGACTGTTTGCTTTTGTTTACACAAGCCCAAATTTTTAGTGGGCACAGAACAGGGGCTTGTGGTCTTGTGCAATCGCAAGTTAGAGACCACAGATGAGCCGATTGTTTGCACATACAGCGGTCACCTTGGCCCAGTTTACGCCGTGCAGAGGAACCCCTTCTTCCCAAAGTACTTCTTGACTGTGGCTGACTGGACGGCCCGCATCTGGTCAGAGGACATCAGATTGTCTTCCATCATGTCGACCAAGTGAGAAAGACAGAGTAGTATTTATATCATTAAAGTATGTCATGTGTGATGTTTATTTGGATCAACTGTATCTTAATAGTGTTAATTCGCCTAAAAGGCAGCCATTTGCCACATTTTCCACATGATCTTCTATCTTTTACAGATCACAACACTATATTAGTTATAATATAAATATACAATTTTATTACTATATTAGTAGTAAAAAGAAACCAGCATTAAAGATATAGTTCAGCCCAAAAAAAGACCTATTTCATAGTTCAGCCCAAAAAAAAGACCTATTCAAGACCTATTTAACTTTCTTTTTTCTGTTGAACAAAAAAAGATATTTTGAAGAAAGCTGGAAACTGGTAACCACTGACTTCTACAGAAGTATTTTTTTCCTGCAGTTTTTACCGGTTTTCGGCTTTCTTCAAAATGTCAGGGGTTTTCAAAAGAAATAAGAAACTCATAAAGGTTGGGAATTACTCAAGAGGTGTGTAAAAATGCTTAAATTATTTTTTTAAGTGAGCTATCATTTTAAACTCCAAAAGTATCACAGAATGTGACACATACATTATATTTCAAATTTAGAGTTAACAAACCAAAACTGATTGTAAAACAAAAAATGTATTAATATCAAAGATTTGACCATTAGTCTGTGTATAGTCTCCACAACCGTATTCATTAAACTTTAATAGTATGAAAATTCACTCACCAAGAAAAAAACACACAAGTGCACACCAGTTGATGTTTAAAAAGTTGAAGAAAACATGTTTAATAATCTTGCATGGACTCATTCTGTGACACTTTTGCTATAAGATAAATGCTTGTCACCATTCACTGCCATATGGATGACTGTATGTAAAATGTTTTAAAAATGTATCCTAATGGACCATTTTGAGGGATGTAAACAATAACAATGTTCCTAACATATTTCCTGTTGTTTAATTTCTGTAGCTTTCGAAAAAGATCTATATATTGATAAATAATGTTATGATCACTGTTATGATGTTAAGTCATGATTAAACTGCCTCTTATTACAATTATGCAATAGTTTGATAACAAGCAGGAAATGTTTATGACATCACCACATTAAAATGGTCTATACAAAAAAGAAAAAAGGCTTATCACAGATTACAGATAAGAGAACCACTGTTTTAAAAGGATAGTTCACCCAAAAATGTTCAAATTCTTTCATTACTTACTTTCTTCTGTTGAACACAAAAGGAGATATTTTAAAGAATGTTGTAAACCCGTAGCCAATGACTTGGCTTTCCTGCTATGGATGTCAGTGGCTAGCGATTTCTAACGTTATTCAAAATATATAAAGAACGAAAAAGAAAAATGTCCAATAAATGTTTGGAACTACTTTCATTTTTGCATAAACAATCCCTTTAGGTAGTGGTTTCTTCCATCTACTTGAACAGTCAATATTTCACATTTGTTTTTACAGATACCACACAAGCCATCTGATGGATGGCTGTTGGAGTCCAGTCAGACCCGCTGTCTTCTTTACAGTGAAGATGGACGGCACCTTGGATGTGTGGGACATATTGCTTAAACAAAAGGACCCGGTTCTCAGTCTCAAAGTCAGACCTAAATATGGTTTCCTCATGCTGAAATATCTTAAATCACTTAAATGTGTAATCGTTTTATATTTATGAAGATTTTTCTTCTCACAGGTTTGTGACGAAACTCTGTACAGTATCCGTGTAAAAAATGACAGCCCTTTGATGTGCTGTGGTTCTCAGTTGGGAACAGTCACGCTGCTGAAGATGTCACCAAACCTGTGCACCCTGCAGAGTAATGAGAAGGGACTTGTCTCAGAGGTGGACATTTTATTATTACTACTGACATGAAATTTGAGTAAATGAAACATGTGAATTATTCTTTTAAACGAGATATAATTGTAAACCAATAGTCCTCCTGGTACACTGAACCATTGATTTTTCATGTGGATTTTTAAATTTTGTAGATGTTTGAACGTGAGACCAAAAGAGAGAAGATTCTTGAAGCTTTTTACAAAGAAAGGAATCAAATGAAACAGAGCTGCCCTAAAGAGGAGGAGGATGGAAGAGCAGAATTACAGGAACTGCTGGCTGAAACAGAGACTGAGTTTTTTGAGGCTATTAATGTAGAGAAGAAGAAAATACAAGTTGATGAGAAATAACAGGTGTGGGACATGTTATTTGTATGCAAATCTACATCAATTTTGTTGTTTTCTTTGTTAAGCATGCAAAGGTTTCATACTTAACCACTGTCATCGTGCACTGTCAGGCATGACTTGCATTCCACAAGAATCAATATGTCAGTAATTATTATTAAAATATACTAAATAAACCACATTTTGTTTCTTGTCTCCTGAAGGAAAACAGTGTGTCAAGGAATCCATGAATAACACTTCTTCTAAACATGCCAAAAAAGGAGCATCTTCCACTTGCAAATAGAGTTTAAAATATTTCTATCTAAAGTTAATTGAAATAGGTACCAAAGTCATTTGTCCCTTCTAGCCCACCCCATCTTTTTAAATATGTATTTTTTTAAAGGACATAATTTTAGCATTAACAATTGTATACTAATAAATTGTATAGCAACTACCAACTTAGTAGATACAGTTTGAAAACCTTAAAAAATAAAATTCAAATGGAAAAGTCTGCTTTAAACTCTCAGCATTTATTTTTCTTAAACTCATGTCACCTGAAAACAGACAAATAAGTATTTGTTCAGGTTTTCTCTTTAAAACCCATATCATAACATCCATGCGTGCATTACTGCATAAATCCACCACATTAAAAACATTCAAATTAAATCTACTTGCTACAGGTGTACACATTTAGCATGAAATAATTGTTACCTGCCACGTGATGCCAGTATTTCTTATGAAATGAAAGTTTCTAGTTTGTGGATATTAACATTAGCAGATGAGAAAACGAGCTATTAAAACTTCTTTCAGCATGAAATAAAGAAACCGCACCATATTGAATCATTTTGAAGCATTAATTGAGTTATGCGAATGTTTGATGTACAATACAGTTTAACGTATTATTTACGCATCTAGTTTGACGTTATCAGAGTCCAATACAGACGGAAAAAAAACTTAAAACCAAGCAACGTCAACATGGGTGCTTTAATATTCTTGATTCATGGTTTCCCTGGTTGTAATGAGGGAAGGGCCAGTGTAGAAACTAGCTGGTGAAACGAAACTGAAACTGAAGAAGCGAATTCGATAAAAAGGCGAAGAGGAGGGACCGAAGGGATTTGTTCGGTTTGCAGACAGAGCGATGACTTTTCAGGGAGAGAGACTCGCCAAAACATTTATCTGTCATCGTTTTACTATGTCAAAGATCAATGCAGGTACGTAATGATAACCTTAATCTAATGGTTTGTTGTAAACGCGTTTAACACGTCTATATTGTATAGGGAGTAAAATATTGCATACGCATTCATATGCAGATTTTGATGTTATATATTGTATTTAAAGTTTCTGTACAACTTGCCTTTTAGTCATTTCTGATTTAAAGAAGTTAAAATGAAGTTGTGGGTAAGGAGATTAACGTTATAATGAAAAGCATAAAATACCGCAAAAACATTTGATCGACTATTAATGTTATGGGGTGATGATATGTTCAGTGTTTACTTATGAAAATTTACCTCACTTTACCATATTTTAACTGTAGTACTGGGACCATAGTAGGTAAATCATGGATTGTTTCTGTAAAACAAACTGGAATTTGTGTCATGTAGTTTGAACAATTTTAACAACAATAATGCAAATAGCAGTCCCTCACTTCTGATTAGGGATTATGTTAAACCTCAGAAAAATCAAAATGCATAAAATAGTTACATACAGTTTATTTATATTTGTAACATACAGTATCATACATATTTTTGACATTTTGTTTTTGACAATTAGACTTTTGAACCTTTTGAAACAACAACCAGGAAGCTAAAAGCTGTGATAGGGTAGAAAATGACAAGGAAGAGAAAAAGTGGCAAGAAAGGGAAGCCATTGGCACAGAAGAAGGAGGCCCAAAAAAGAGGTGGTAGCACATCTTCATCCACAACACAAAAGGAGGGGGCTCAAAAAGGAGATGGGAGCTCATCATCATCCACGACACAGAAGGATGGGGCTCAAAAAAGAGATGACAGCACATCATCATCATCTACAGCACAGAAGGAGGAGGGCCAAAAAAGTGATGGGAGCACATCATCATCCACAACAAATAAGGAGGGAGCTCAAAAAAGAGATGGGAGCACATCTTCCAGATTGCAGAAAAAGGGGCCCCAAAAAAGAAAAGGTAGCACATCTTCATCTAGAGCACATTCACGGAGTCGATCAAAAAGCAAGCAAACTAGTTACCCAAGCCAGGCCAGATCCAGAAGCCATGGCCAGCACAACATAAGCACAACTGAGTCTGGGCCACTCAGCAAAGAGGCTCAAACTCAAACAAGCGCAAGTTTGTTGGTGGACAAGGACACTCAGACCGAGACTGTCGGTCAAGCATCACAGCAGACACAAACAGAGATCAATGGCAACACAGAGACAGCAGAAGTTTCACAGCCTCCACAGCTCAGTCATGAAGATGTTGAGATGGAGGGTACTGTGCAGCCAAGGACAAAAGGGAGTGAAAGTGATGGGGAAAAGGAGGAAAGTGTAAAGAGGAAGAAACGGAAATTGAGTGAAATTGGGGAACCTGCAAAGGAGACAGAAGATAGCACCAAACTATCACATGAATGTGAGGAAAAAGTTGGTGATAATCAAAAGAATGAAGACACAAATAAACATTATGGAGGAGATTCACTGAAAGACCTTAAGTCAGTAACAGAAGAGCCAAAATCATACGCAGCAGCTGCCGCAACAGGGAAGACAGGCAAAGTGTCTAAGGAGCAGACGAATCAGATAGAAGCAAATCAGGACAGCACAATGGAAAGCAAAAGTACTCAGAGGTTTGTGATGCTGCACTTAGAATTATAAATATTTCAGCTAAGTATATGTAACCTTTGATGCATTCTAATTTTTAATATTGTTGTAACAGAAAACCTTCTCCAGTGAGGGCTCCAGCTGGACCGCCAATGCTGACGTTTTACATCTATGCAGTTTTGGACAAACGATTCAGATTTAATGAACAATATGACTCCCTTTTCCTTGATTATGGGAATGGAAACATTAAACTTCAGATGAAACATTTCAAGTAAGTTTCTCATTATACAGACTTTAAACCGTATGTAATAATAAGTTTCACTTACTTTGTCTTTATCTTTCGGCTTAGTTTCTGATTTATCAGGAGTCGCCACAGCAGAATGAACTGCCAAAATATGTTTTTAACCATATATATTATTTATTTATTATTTACTATTTTAAGTAGCGTAGTCAAACAGTAAAAGTTGAAATAAGCACTGAACAAGAAGATGTTTACTGATGTTAAATGTTGTATTGCATAGTGTATTTTTTTAATGTTAAGGCCATTTCTTGTTGTTTAGCAGTATAGGAAAGGATGGCTATTTGATTGAGGCAACATTTTCAGTCGAGGACAGTGCAGTGAGAGGTGGCACAATTCAATATAAATATGTGGTGCAGCAGAGGCAAAATCAGAAGTCAGAAATAGCAGTGAGATACATTGAGGTCCCTTCTTACACTACAGAGAAAGGTACTAAAATCTGAATATATTTATATGTTTATTTTTTTGTAAAAATTAAAAAAAAAAAATTTTTTTTTTTTGCATTTTCCAGAATTCCACCTTTATGAAGGCTATATAAGCTGTTCAAGCACAGTCTCAATTACAGAATGGATGATGAGCTTGTTTCATTCTGAACAAAAAGCAGTTTACAAAGGCTGGGAGACTTCTGCGCATGTGTTACTGGACAGAATTTTTCTTAAATGGCACCCATCTAATGAGGAGAGCAACATGACATTTGTGCAACACTTAAGAAGTTACAAAAATGCTTTTGAGTCAGGCTTCGTGGAGTTTCCAGGAAATTATACTCCATTTCCTATAAAAGTAAATGTGACACACACATAAATAAACTGTTACTTTTTACTTATTTTTTGAAATTCCTGTTACAACAGAATGTATTGTTTTACTGTAGGTCTCAGAGCTCATTTCTGCTAAACTAAGAATGATTTTAAAAAAAGAATCAGAAGCTCTTAGGACATCAGAGAGCTTAGATGGGGTCAAATCAGAGGCACTATCAGTGGCCCTATCAGTGTTCAAGGTGTGCTGTGGCTGTGATGTCGATCTCAGCTTAAAGGACTGGGGCAAACTCTGCCAAGTTGTCTCTGAATGCATGGGTTCCTTTGGAGAAATTCAAACAACCCAAACTGCCCCATTTATCAAGTGAGTAAGGTTTATTTGACAAATCTGGTTTTAGATCATTGATTTTATCTGTATCTTCTAATGCACACTAGAATGCGGTGGCATTTCTAGTAATGAATATGTATTAATGTTTACAAGTTGCTAAGCACCACAATAATCATCATGATTTTGGTTTCTTTCTAGCACAGTGACAGGACTGATGAACCTATGTGCAAAGAAGCTCATCACAGAAGTGGTGTTACTTGTTCCTGTCCTTCATTTACTGAGAAATTCAGAAGTAAATGAAGCAGGTCCAGGCTCATCTATGGATGAACAGAGATGGACAGGGCTTGAAAACATATCATATCAATCTTTTAGGGAAAGAATCAGAGGACTCCCAGACAAAAGGAGGTTCGTTTGGATAATTTTATAGGGCACTTTTTCATTTCATAATAAACAGGATAAGATATGTGATTTTCTTTATTTTGTAGGATGATCCTTAAGCTGATCAAAGATAACTTGCCAATGACCAAAGACAACCCTAAATTGTTGAAAAGCTGGCTTTCCTTGGTGGCATTTGAGGATGTTTCTGAGTTTGTCCAGTTGACTGGTAGCTTTCCTGAACTCCTGATCCAAAGTCTAATGTGCAGAATCATAGAGGCAGAAAAAAACACTGATGCCAATCGCACAGAAAAAAACCTTGAGGTATTTGATTAAGGACGCATTCATGATTAGGAACTTGAGCTACAGCTGTTGCCTTTGCCACAGAAAGAACATTATTATACTAACTCATGTTTGTTTTTTGAATTTCAGGTAACTGGAAAGGTCCTGAACCTCTTGTTGAAGAGCATCAAGAAAGACAGAGAAAGGTACATATATTTGTTTATAGTGGGATTCATTGAACTTAATGTTCTTTTTGAATATTTGATATGGGGCAGGTATTAATGCAGGATTTCTTTAATCACCAGAATCATGAAGACTGAGCAATTGAAATTAATCCTTCAGTGTTGCTGTAATGTTCACAAGAGTGTTTGCAAGACTGCTCGGCTTGTCCCACAATACAAAGTCACAGTGCTCTCTTTCCAGCTTCTCCTTAAAATGGCTGAAATTGTTTATGATGGGTTTTTTAAGGTAGTGTATCATTAACATATTCTTAATAGTTATATAAGGATGGTGTCTTTTTGAAAAAATCATTTCATTTTGCAGGGTGGAGAGCAAATGAAACAACATCAAAATGAGGTTTTGTCCAAACTCAACATCATTCAAGAGGATTTCAGGAAATGGAGAGTTGAGCTCCTCTTAAAACCTCTGATGCAGACCACTGGATTCACTTACCCTCGAGAAATGGAGGTAATCTTTATGAATATATTATTGAAGCCAATCAACTGCAAAGACAGTGCCATGTGCCAATGGTCATGATAGACTATTGAATTTATTCAGACACATATTCATGCACTAGGGTGTTAATTTGAGGTGTTGGCTGTGTTTTTGTGCTGTTTACGTGTTAATCAGACATCCTGAGCTTGAATATGGTAGTGGCTGGATCTAATAGAAATTTGTGTGTTTTTTTTATTCTTTTTTGCAGTTGTGGAATGATTTGTATGGGATTGAGAGTTCAATTCCAGGTGTCACTGAAAGATGGAAGGGTTTTTTAGATCATGACCTGAGACGGAGGATATCCCAGGTACTGTATATACACTTAAATATACACTCACCGGCCATTTTATTAGGTACACCTTACTAGTGTCGGGTTGGACCCCCTGTTGCCTTCAGAACTGTGGTCATAAAGGCATGGACATGGTCAGCAACAATATTCAGGTAGGCTATGGTGTTGACATGATGCTCAGTTGGTAATAATGGGTCCAAAGCATGGCAAGAAAATATCCCCTACACCATTACACCACCACCACCAGCCTGAACCGTTGATACAAGGCATTTCATGCTTTCATGTTGTTGAGGCCAAATTCTGACCCTACCATCCGAATGTCGCAGCAGAAATCGAGACTTAGACCAGACCAGGCAACATTTTTCCAATCTTCTATTGTCCAATTTTGGTGAGTCTGTGTGAATTGTAGCCTCAGTTTCCTGTTCTTAGCTGACAGGAGTGGCACCCGGTGTGGTCTTCTGCTGCTGTAGCCCATCCGCCCCAAGGTTCAACGTGTTGTTCATTCAGAGATGCTCTTCTGCACACCTCGGTTATAACGAGTGGTTATTTGAGTTACTGTTGCCTTTCTATTAGCTCTAACCAGTCTGGCCACTCTTCTCTAATCTCTGGCATCAACAAGGTATTTGCGCACACAGAACTGCCACTCACTGGCATTTTTTTCTTTTTTGGACCATTTTCTGTAAACCCTAGACAAGGTTGCGTGTGAAAATCCCAGTAGATCAGCATTTTCTGAAATATTCAGACCAGCCCATCTGGCACCAACAACCATACCATGTTCACAGTCACTTAAATCACCTTTCTTCTCCATTTGGATGCTCGGTTTGAACTGCAGCATATTGTCTTGACCTTGTCTACATGCCTAAAATCATTGAATTGCTGCTTTAATGAGCAGTTGGACAGGTGTACCTAATAAAGTGGCTGGTGAGTGTACATAAATAAGCATAAACATTTTAATTTTACAAAATTTAAGTCAACATAATCCATTTGTTTTTTAGATTTCTGACACTGACAAGATTGTTGTGTATGTCCTGGTCACGTCAGCAAAGGCTGTTGAGAATAGTCATGCAAACATTCAGTCTTGTTTGAAAGAGTTGTGTGAGGCTGCCATTAAGAACCAATGTCAGGTATTGTCATATAACACCTTTTAAGACTTAAAGAGATGATCAGTTTTGCAGTATTGTTATATGCACAATATGACTACAAATGTAGAAAGATTGGTATATTTGTAATTGCTTGTATATCTTGTCCTGTTTTTACCTCTTTTACCAGTCAAAGAAGGAAGGAACGCTTTTATGCCATCTTTTTTCCAAGACCATTTCATGGCCAGTTCTGTCCTCCATTATTGTGGAGTCAGCGGCTTGCTTTGGAGAGGATCATAAAGGTCGTCTGCTTGACCCACAATCAGCAATCAACTTCTTTTTGTCTCAAGGTATATAGTAACTTGATATAACAAGTTTCATTGTTTTAATTTAATCTAACAATAAAGTTAATGGTTTAAAACAAACACTTGGACAAAAATTTACTATCCTTCTTGTATGAAAATACAGTACCAGCAACAGTTAATCAATATCATGGGTTATGTTTTATTACAGACAAGTGGAATGAGTGGAAGTTAGAAGATGGTGCCAGTCAATTAATTGCAGAGAGTCAGTCGTTCTTGGGTCGTCTCATTCAGACCCTATGCCAAGGAAGCATACCCTTGGGCCATCTTAAGACAATCTTTAAATATAAGACACAATTTCAGAAGCTTTACAACCAGTGTAAGTGCTATGCACTGAATTTCTGTTATCATTTCTACTGTATATATATATATATATATATATATATATATATAGAGGTCTCTGTAGATACACACTTAATCACTGTTGTGTTTATTTTGACATTAGATAAGAACAACAACAAAGAAATGAATGTTTCAATCAGTGTATCAGATCTACTCAGTCAAAGAGAAGATGACTTGAAAGCCTTTGAACAACAGAAGGGGTACATGACCAACCTTATTAATATGCTGGGAAAGATTTCTGATGTCATAAATGGTAATTACTCATTTGAATTTCATTGTATTTATCTTTTTTTAACAGTTTTATATTAAATATGTTGAACCCCATGCAAGAGATGTCCTTCCCTAATTATAGATAGGAGACCTAGTTAAAATCTTATTGAAATATTTAAGCTGCTACCTTAGGATGCTTTTATGAAGATTAAGTAATTTAATATTGAATTATATAAACTGTAAAATAAATATGTTTGTATTTTACATTGATTGTGGCCACAACAGTACCAGAGCTTTCGTCCCTTGAAGAAATTGCCAAAACCAACGTGCAGGAGGTCGCACTGGACAAGCTGGTTGAAGTGGAAACCTATTTTTCTAAAGATGATCTTAAGAAAAACAACACAAGGCGAGTGTTATTCTACAGTGATGATCAGCAAGTCCAAGACATGGCACGGGAGATGCATGACGTAAACTCCAGCAACCTCATTTTAAGTTTTTGGCAAGAAAAAGCAAAAGATTATTTTATGGCTGGTCCTGAGCTTTTGTCACTAGATCTTACAGAAATCTATGAAGATATCTGGACACCATGTCTCACTAAATTCCTCAACTTTGGTAATCGGATTGCTGTTGGACAAGCATGCTTTAAAGAGGTGGAAGAGGCTTTGGTAGGGTGTGGGGAGACAGGTGAAGGAGATCGTTTGAAGAAAGAGTTTATGTTGATGGCCACTATGCTGGACGGCCATAATGAGAACTGGCCAGAGCAACGTCTAAAGCAGATTCGGGAATACAGATGCCTTTATGATGCAGCAGAATCTGCTGAGGTCATACTGAAATTAAAAGATAGGTTGGGATTACAAGGAGATTTCAGCCATATACATAGCTTGACTCTAGTGGTAAGAGACCTATCTTTATTGTGATTGCATTAGATTGACCATTTATGTGTTTTTCATTAAAATTGATATGTTTTTGTTTAGACTGTTGTGATATTTCTGTTGTTTTACATAATAATAGAGAGACGACTCATTTAAACAAAACACTCTGGGTTCACTGAGTGAGGATCTCATTAAAGCGAGGCAAAAGCTGGCAGATGTTGAACGCCGACACACTGCCTGTCTTGAGGCATTCTTAAAAAGTGATACACTAATTAAATGGATCAAAGCAGAAATTCCAAGTAAGATTTTCTGGCTTTATAGTGTTCATATCTGGAAGAAAATCTGTCCCTTTTTTAATATACTTTATTTTATTCAGGTTTAAAGGAATTGAAAGTCTTTATGGAACTGGCCACAATTTCTGCTGGAGAGAATGATGCAGACATTGATAGGTTGGCTAGTTTTGAGACTGCTGTGATGGGCTATGCGCCTTTGCTTTATTCACTACCACAAAATGTAGGATTTGAAGAGTTTTTTGACTATGCTAAGCAAGTATTGGACACCCTTAACAAAGATGAGAAACTCGGGGATAAACTGGTAAGTATCTGCAAGATGATTGAGTTTTTGATAGAGCTTTCTGCTGTTATAATTATTGATATCTGTACACCCACAATTTTCCAATTATTAGCTACCAAATGATCCATTTTTAATGTAAAAAGTCTTATCAGTCACATTAAGGGAACATTCTTTTATGTGTTTTAATGAAGGTTTGCCTATATATAATGTTTACAGGTAGACTCCAATCGGTGGTTGGATTGGCTTAAAGGTTTAAGGGAAACTCATGGCTCTGTTGAACAGTCGTCTTTATCTTTGGCCTCAGCTATCAACACTGGAGGCGTGTACCATGTAGGCTGGCCTGATGATTTCAATGGAAAAGTGAGTAAAAAATAGTCCTAATTGTTCAATGCTTAATAGACAAATACGTGATGGCTTAAAATCACAAAAATCTTTCTTTAAATAGTTATAAAGTAATTTTCTACTAAAGAGGTATTTTATTGAATAGGGGAGTTTGTGAGCATGCTTAATATGTTATATGTTTGTAGACTGGTTTGGACAACATCTTTTACGTGAAGGTGACCAAAAACAATGAAGAAAAGACATATCGTCTTAATGAACTCTTAGAGCTGCAGAATAAACTCATGCTGATGTCATCTAAAGGAGAGAAGGGAAAGGAGCAAGTCATCAAGTTTACTCAGGTTGGGTTCATTGTTACATTCTCCAAGGTCTGAAAACATACAGTAAATACCAGACACCATTATGTTAAACTCTGTTTAACACCAATTTGAGTATATTTTGTGGAGACTTAACTCTTGTTTCCGTCCTGCAGGTTTTTGAAGGTATTCAGCGCATGGGCCGCATCCTCCTGCAGTTGCACAGATCGGGTAACATGCTCTTCAGAAACTGGGCAGCAGAGATAACGTGCAACCACCAAAATCAACCCTGCATTCAAGTGAAATTTCCCTTATTAAGTAAGTGTATTGTATATCAGGGTGAAGTCGAGGAGGAGCTTCAGAAGCTGAGTCGCTCCCTGGAGGACTTCCATAAAGATTGGTGTAACCACTTAACCAAGATGCGCTCCCAGTACTATCCACTGAATCATTACTCTTCAGAGCAAATTGTCTATCTTTGCGAATGGATCAACAGCATTAACATCAAAAAGAAACCTGTTCCACAACAAGTATGGCACCTTTTGACTCCTATCAAACCAGACTGCATGTTAAATGACATCAAAGAGGCTTTTGAAATAGCAACAGAGCCACAATCTATTTTGCAAGAGGATACAGCAGAGGAATTAGGACCAAACAGTGATTTTGACCTGCCTTTGAGCTTCAGTTTACTAGATGTCAGCACCGAATGCTTGGAGGACCTGTGGAAGCAATTTAAGGAGAACATGTCTGGATTCCTTACCCACCATGTAGATGTTGAGACACTTGGACGATTCCTCTCCAATCTCTCCAACATGAATCAACTGCACATCAAACGAAAGATTCCTTCTTTTCTACAAGAGGGAAGGCCAAATCTTGTCCAATGCCCTGCTGCTGAATTAATGAGCACCACTCTTTCTTTTTACATGGAGAGTCCAGAAAATCCTCTTCCAACAACTGATGAGGTATTAATGTGCCAGGAGGAAACAACTGAAGAGGAGGTGGAGATCTTCCTTCGCCGATGCCTTGGAGGTGCTGCAAGCAATCATAAGAAGATCTACACTCTGGTCAATCCAGGATCAATGAGTTATGATGTGAGCGTGGCATTGGTGGAATACTTTGAGACCCAGGAAGTGTGTGCTGGTCCTTATTACCGGCTAGTGATGGTCTGTCCTGTTAACCAGGATAGATATATTCCTTCATTCTTTAGCAACTATAAGGTGCAAACTGGTATAACTATATCTGCAGAAAGAAGTCAAAAGTACATTCGTCATCACTTTAAAATATCTTACGAGCTTGCCACCCACTCAAGTGTCTATCCGGAAAGGTTGTCCGTCTGGATGATTGCATCAAAACGTCCAGCTGTTGGTAAGTACTAGTTATACCATAAATTATAAAATCAAATCAAACCAAGTGACTCCATTTATTAATGCTGGGTTTTGTAAACAAAATGGGATTAGTTTGCTTCATCATAGCCTCTGAATTACTTTTGATCAAAATAAATGTCATCGTATTCTCTGGTAGTCTAGATTAGACATACTTTTTTTAATTTCTTCCTGCTCTTCTTGCAGGAAAATCTCTGTATGTGAGACGCCTTTTTGAGAAGTTCAAAGGGGAGTTTCCAAGAGCCACACTTCTAACAATCAGGCTCATCGATCCTTACATTGACATGGATGGATTTGTCCAAACTCTGTCCGAGAGACTGGCTCCACTGAGACAGCAGGACCCTGTGCTGTTACACATTGACGTTGCAGCTGTATGTTTTTCCTATGTCATGGCATCCACTATTATATAATATTTGTGGAACACTATTAACACTTCTTTTCTCTCACCATTTTGGATCATTCGTAATGGATTTCTTGCCTTTGCAGGTATGTCATGGCTTGGAGGAATTCCTGTTCAAATTGCTCATTCTAGAATGTATTAGTGACAGCAAGGGAACTATATGGAGGAGAAATAAAGCTCATTTGGTGGTGATTGAAACACTTCAGCGAGGTCACAAGACTCAAACAAAAATGGAGGTAGAATGTTTTTCCAACTTTTTAAACTTTTCCTCGCTGAAATAAATTCAAAAGTTGGTAATGTTGGAACTAACCTTTATAATTATATTCTGTTTTACAGCCTTCACATGGATTTTTGAATACATTACCTACTATCTTCTGCAGGCCTCCTAAAGACATCAAAGAGATCATGAAAACAAACGAGAGCTTTAGATCATTGGATCCACTAATGGATAAAGAAGAGTTTGAAAGTGAAGACATTCAGAGACCCTACCAATACCTCAGGCGGTTTAACAGGAGTATGAACTTGGATAGATTTACATATCAAGCTCATTCTGTAGAAGGGGATCCAGTTGATTGTCTCCATCATCTTTTGTCAAACTATGGCTTGAAGGACCCATCCTGGGCTGAACTTAAGCACTTTACTTGGTTTCTTAACCTGCAGCTTAAAGACTGTGAGAAATCTTTGTTCTGTGATTCAGACTTTTGTGGGGAGACCTTAAGTGGCTTCAAAGACTTCATAGTAAAATTCATGATTCACATGGCTCGAGATTTTGCCTCACCTTCCATTGACATCTCTGACCAGAGCCCCTCCTTTTTCTCTAAGAATGAAGATGAGGAAGAAATCCTGTCTTTCCGAAAACGATGGGAAAATGAGTCTCACCCATACATATTTTTCAATGCAGATCACGTAAGCATGTCTTTCTTAGGATTTCATGTGAAACAAAATGGGACAATTCTTAATGCGGTTGATTCAAAAAGTGGCAAAGTGCTAATGAGAAATGTGATGACACAAGAGCTATTTTCAGACATTCAACGACAAATGATCAATCTGTCAAAGGACTTTGATGACCTGACCAGAGAGGACAAGTTACAAAAAATGTCCTTTGTTGTTGGTGCCGAAAAAGGATGTGAAAAAGGCAAGTTTGATCCAGATCCTACATATGAGTTAACCACTGACAATGTCATGAAGATGCTGGCTATACATATGAGATTCAGATGTGAAATTCCTGTTATCATCATGGGGGAAACTGGCTGTGGAAAGACTCGGCTTGTTCGCTTTCTATGTGATCTACAACGCGAAGGCAGAGATGTTGAAAACATGAAGCTAGTCAAAGTTCATGGCGGTACAACTTCAGAGACCATCTATAAGAAGGTTCGGGAAGCAGAGGAACTTGCTCAGAAAAATCGTCAAAAATATAAACTTGACACAGTTTTGTTTTTTGATGAAGCCAACACAACCGAAGCAATCTTTGCCATCAAAGAAGTACTATGTGACAAAACTGTAAAAGGATACCCTTTGAAGAAAAACTCTGGTCTGAAAATAATTGCTGCCTGCAATCCATACAGAAGACACACGACAAAGATGGTTGATCGCTTAGAGCGAGCCGGTCTAGGATACAGAGTAAAAGCTGAGGAAACTGAGGATCGCCTTGGTAAAGTCCCCATGAGACAGCTTGTGTACCGTGTGCACCCTTTACCCCCGAGCATGGTGCCTCTGGTGTGGGATTTTGGACAATTAAGCGATTCAACTGAACTCTCTTACATTCGACAGATTGTGAAAAAAAAGATGAGAGATCATAGATTGCCTCTTTCATGCCAGAATGTGATCACGAATGTTTTGGCTGCATCTCAGAAATACATGCGCAACCAAGCAGATGAATGCAGCTTTGTAAGCCTTAGAGATGTGGAGAGATCAATGGGTGTCCTTCTTTGGTTTTACAACCACAGAGACATTTTTTTTCCATCCCAAGATTTTCCGAGATTTGAAAATGTGCAGATGGTCTTGAAATGCTTGGTGCTTGCAGTTGGTGTTTGCTATTACCCATCTCTTGAAAACAAAAGACCATACCTAGCGACTATCAGCAAATGCTTTCCTGATCAGTTCAACTCTGAAGAGTCTCTGGAGCAGGAGATAGCTTCATGCCAAGACTTTTTACTTAAGAACATTCAAACAAGAGAAACGATTGCCAAAAATATGGCTTTGAAAGAGAATGTGTTCCTTATGGTGGTCTGCATTGAGTTGAGGATTCCACTCTTTCTGGTTGGCAAACCTGGGAGCTCTAAATCTCTTGCTAAGACTGTCATAGCAGATGCAATGCAACGCCAGGCTTCACACTGTGATTTATTCAAGAAACTCAAGGAGGTTCACATGGTGTCTTTTCAATGCAGCCCTCACTCAAGCCCTGAAGGAATCATCGGAACCTTCCGAAACTGTGCTCGTTTCCAAAAGGATAAGAACTTAGATGAGTATGTGTCAGTAGTCGTACTGGATGAAATAGGACTTGCAGAGGACTCGCCACAGATGCCACTGAAGACATTGCATCCTCTTCTTGAGGATGGATGCATAGACAGTGACAACCCAGAGTCATACATGAAAGTTGGGTTTGTTGGAATCTCAAACTGGGCTCTCGATCCAGCAAAAATGAACAGAGGTATTTTTGTGTCACGTTGGGACCCGAGTGAAAAAGACTTAGTAGAGACAGCCGAAGGTATCTGCTCATCCTCCCAACCTGTTCTTCTCAAAATAAAGCACCTACTGTCAAAGTTGGCAAAATGTTTTCTGAGCATCTGTAAAACTGACAGTGAACAATTCTTTGGACTCAGAGATTATTATGGCTTGATAAAAATGCTTTTTGACACAGTCAAATGTTCAGATCAGGAGCCATCTGACAAAGAGTTGGCAGAGGCAGTGTTGAGAAACTTCAGTGGACAAAGGGATGGATTTGATCCACTTGATTACTTCAAGGACATCTTCCAAAACATTCAAAATGTCCAAAGGCCAAACACATTGAACATGATTGAACAGAATCTCGACCACCACATTGACAAAGAATGCCGATACCTTCTTTTGCTCACAACTAACAATGCTGCCTTGTACATTATCCAACACCATATTTTCTCAAAGGAGAATTATACACAGAAATGCCCAGAAATTGTCTTTGGATCAGGGTTTCCCAAAGATCAGGAGTATGCCCAGATATGTCGCAATGTGAGCAGAATCAAGGCGTGCATGGAGACAGGTCGAACTGTAATCCTGTTGAATCTCCTTAATCTCTATGAGAGCCTGTATGATGCCTTGAATCAATACTATGTCTACTTCAGTGGGCAGCAGTATGTTGACTTGGGACTAGGTTCACATAGAGTAAAGTGTCGAGTTCACAGAGACTTCAGACTTGTTGTGGTGGAAGACCAGGAAAAGGTCTACAAAAAGTTTCCTGTTCCTCTTAAGAACAGACTGGAAAAACACAAAGTTGATAGGAGTACAGATTTGGCTCCTTGGCAACACAGAGTTTTGGAAAAACTCAAAAAGTGGGCGCGGGAGTTTTCAAAAATCCAGCATTCTGATTCAAGTGAAGCCAATTTTAGCGTAACCGATGCATTTGTTGGCTTCCATGGTGATGCTTGTGCTAGTGCACTCCTGCAGGCTTTAAAGAAAATTGACAAATTGCATCATAATAAAGAGGAAAATAGAGAAGAAAGTGAAGCTCATCACATTGACAGAGAATTTACTGAGTTTCAAGAGAAAGTTAACAAATTCCCTGATGAGGCACAAGAAGATGATGCTTCTATGGAAGTTGACAAGGTACAAGATGCAGAGATTGATGAAGAAATGGAGACTCTTGAAGATGATTCTGATCTTGTGAAAATGGTTGAAGGTCCTGTTTTTGTTGAGACAAGAGACAAAATTGAGTCAAACAAAACCATGGATGAGGAGGAAGTCTATGAAATTGCCAAAAGCTTTCTCTTGAATTGTTCTACACCAGACTCTGTTCTTAGGTTGAAGTATTCAGAATTTGGAAATCAGGAGACAGAAGAACTTCAGAAAATGTATTTCCATCTGCAAACCCATCAGTCTCTTAGAGACCTGTTAAACAACCATCTGAACAAAACTAATCAGGACAAGAACAGATTCTTAGAGGTAATGTTTAATCTTTATAGAATTGTAGATATCAAATGTTGTTATTCTAATAGTATTAAGGGACTTTTAAGGTACAATTTTGTCTCATGTAGTCATATTAATGATCATGGTTTCTGTCAGGTAACAACATTCTCCAATCTTCTCACTGGAGCTGATGTGAGAAACCTTGGTCCAGCCTTGGGCTTGTCCACTGAGCGTTTTCTTCTGCTCTCTTTACACCAGTTTGACACAGAGGCTTCATTCTGCAACAAGATACAGTGAAGTTTAAAATATTTTGTTTGTTACAGTACAATTTGCTTTAGCAACAGATGGTCAACTATTTGTAATACCTTTTATGTGTTCTTCCACAGGTCCTTCCTGAGGGAATCAGGGCCCTCAGTGCACATTCTTCTGATTCAGATGGACATGGAAGAGTCACTATGCAAAAATGAACTCATTGCTTCAGCAAAGTAAGTACATTGATTGTATTGGCATTGTAAATCAGATTTTAATTTCGCAACACCCAAAGTCAGTTTTTAATAAATTTTTTTTTTTTTACCTTTACATCAGGTACTGTACCATGAATGAAATATTGCACTTAAAATCAGATGAGTGCAATATCTACACTGTGTTCATTACAAAACTCTCCAGAATTGGAGAGCAATGTACTTCAATTACTGGCGACAAGTACATTGGCTTTCAAGGAGGTAAGTGAAATTTTTTTTAATTGAAACATTTGCACTGTGTTTAGACATTATCAAATAAATATTCTTTTTTTTCTGAAGGAGTTTGGCTGTCTGCACATATTGATGACCTTAGAGATTCTGATGACTTGTGCTTAAACCTTAAAGCTTTTTGTGGAATACCTATAAGTCAACTAATTTCACAGACAATCGAGTCAGGTATGTACTGTAAGGACCAACTCTTCTTATTGAGGAGAGCTTAGGAACTTACAAATACTATACCACTTCTGCTACCACCCACAACACCATACTTTGTTGGGGCAAGCTTTGCACAAGCAAGCAAAACATACATTTGTATTTAGAAAGCTATAACATTTGTTATAATTTGTAAAAAACTATTTTACAGATGTCAAAGAGTCGGATGAAATGAATACAAATAGACAACAAAGTGAAAAGGTAAAAGGTTTTAAAAGTGCACTGGATTAATTTAAACATATCCATAAAGTAATGTTATACATACTGACTGAAACACTGTTTTTTTTTTTTTTTTAGGGTGATTCAGTGCATCTGCACAGTTTGTCCCTATTGAGATCCTGTACCCAGAAAGCTGTTTCATTGCTAAGAGATACAGATGAAAAGACCTCCAGGAGTATGGAGCGCATGAACATATTGCTTGGGCTTTTGGCATGTGACCCTGGGCGGACAGGAGGTTGGTTTTCATTATATCTGTTGTTGTGACTATTATATATGTAAAACGATAGTTCATCAGAGACTAAAAACAATCAACTTGCATCAAAAATATCTTTTGTATGTTTTTTCAGCACGTTTCCAACAAGTGTTGCTAAAGAGACTGGTATTTGCATTGATTCAGAAGGAAGAACTGATTCCTAATGCAAAAGACTGGGTTTATAAAGTGGCAAAGAATCATGAAGCTCTGCAAGAATGTGGAACACTGAGGTAATGTAGTAATATAAATTCAACCAGCATTAGCAGATGTCTAAAATAAGCAGTGTTATTATGCAGTGTTTTAACTGCCTAATGCTTAATTTATGCTTTACACATGTAAATACACACAAGTAATAGTAAAGCAATACCTTTAGAGTTTGTAAAATGCACAAGGAAGTCTAACAATCCATTCTAATATAATTTCCCGATGTGTTTTATTCATATCAGATGCACATACTGAAAGTCACTATAAAGTTGAATCTACTCTTCTCTAAGTTTACCAGCCACTTACTTGCATGTATTTGGGAAGTTACTGGTGAATTTACGTGCTTTTTCAGAAAACAAGACATCATTTCTTATGCTATTTCATGAGTCTAGTATGTATCTTAATTTAAAAATATTTAGATATTTGGATTGAAAACAGGACAAACTGCTTAGTTTTTTCATTCATTCATTTTCTTGTCGGCTTAGTCCCTTTATTAATCTGGGGTCGCCACAGCGGAATGAATCGCCAACTTATCCAGCAAGTTTTTTACGCAGCGGATGCCCTTCCAGCAGCAACCCATCTCTGGGAAACATCCACACATGCACATACACTACGGACAATTTAGCCTACCCAATTCACCTGTACCGCATGTCTTTGGACTGTGGGAGAAACCGGAGTACCCGGAGGAAACCCAGGCGAATGCAGGGAGAACATGCAAACTCCACACAGAAACGCCAACTGAGCCGAGGATCGAACCAGCGACCAAGCGACCTTCTTGCTGTGAGGCGAACATGCTACCCACTGCGCCACTGCGTCGCCCACTGCTTAGTTTTTTATTTTATTATTATTATTATTATTTGGGGGATGAGTTTTTTTGAATAAACGTTTGGAAATTAATGCTTTTTTTAATCCGATTCATCGATTAATAAAAAAAAAAAATAATCGCCAGATTAATTGATTATTGAAATAATCGTTAGAATATCTTCAAGCCTACCAAAGACTATCATGACTTTGAAATATGTCAATTGCACTCGATAAACAGCCGTAGATTAGTCACAACTAACAAGGTATCATTTCTGTTTCATGTTCAGGCACACTTTGTGGCGCTACTTACAGGATTTTTTGACCCCAGTGTTGGCCCGAATATTAGAAGTGATAGACAGGGATTGCAACTTGTACCAACTGTATGGTGAAGGTCTCAGTGAGGGTCTGACCCAATTCTGGCTGGATATTTTTGAAGATCAACAACTCCTTGACCTAATTCCATCACAAAATACAAGGTATGATTAAATCCACATTATGTTCTGAAATCTGTTTATTAATAAATGAGGCGTTGAAATACATTTGATTAATTAACTACAACTGATGAGAGGATTTTTCTCTTTTTGTAGAGCTCCAGACCAGGAGATTAATGTGCAGTGTCACCTATTTGTTGGAGAAGTTGAACAACCTTGTGCTGCTCCTTACAGCTGGCTAATAAAAACATACTGTCAGAGTTTATGGGAGGAATCTGAGTTTGTGCGAAGTGAGATGTCTTTTTTTTTGTGCTGAAAATGTATAAACACATGCAGCTTTATGAAGTCATGCAAACAACATGTTTTTACTTTTTTTTCAGGCTCTGAGCAAGACATTAAAGCCAGGATTCAACAGTTTGTTAGCGCTGTATCAGGCAGTAGACTTGGCAGCTATATTCAGAAACTCTCAGATGTGGAGAATGTAGAGTTGGGTCAACGCTACTTGACAGATTATGTTCTTCTAGCATTCAAAGTCAACTCTGAGGACGAGCATTGGGTGAGATAATAGTAAATAGGTTTTTATAATCTGGCTACAATGTTCTTACTTGTTTCATGTTCTAAACTGGACATCTGCTGGGCTGTGTGTATATTTTCTTATAGGTACTTCAATCAGCAGTACTAGGTTGCGTGTTTACTCTGCAGACAATGATGTCAGTATCTCCTGAACTCTCTCCATCATGGATCCATGCAGCAGCCCAAATTTACAATCCACGCATGGACACATTATCACATGTCCTTCAGCTCAACCCTCAGCTGGTCAGTCTGATCCAGCAAGAAAGACCAAAGAGGGAAAGCCCTGATATGGTGAGAAGCAAGAGTGTAGCATGGGTTTCTATGTTGATTTTGGATACTTGTCTATTTACGCTATTCGCTAGTTTGTCAGTATATGCTGGTAACTTAGGGCGTACTCACACTATACTATCAGAACCATGCCCAGGCCCGTTTCTTAGATTGTTTGAGAAGTGTGAGTGCTCTGAATCAGGCTCAGGCACAGTTCAGTTGGCTGGGCCAGGCACGGTTGGAAGAGGTGTGCCAGAGTGCGGTTCACTTAGGCTCATATTCATGTAGTGTGAGTGCAAAGCGCGCCTGAGCCCTAAACTGAAGACGAGATGTGACTTTTACAGGACTGTTTCATATGGATTTATCAATCATTCTTACTGTTCAATGAACGCAAACTGTCCTAGATTATTAAAGACGCAAACCCCTAACTGCATGACAGCTGTACCTTTAGCAAACCTCCTAATTCCTGCAGCTCAAGGACTTTATTATTGTTTATGAGTGTCAGAAGTGACTGATCTGTTCTGCGAAATATTTGACTGCGTGTCACTGCATATCAAATGACTAAAACGATATAGCTAAAGAAATCACTGTGCTGAGCGTGAGCGCTTCTTTCTGAACAGTGCATCATTGATGACGTAAGCATGCCCAGACGCAAATGTAACATGAGTGCGGGCCATCGGGGAAGATGGGAGGGGGGACAAGCGTGCTTTGGCCCAGTTCAAGGCAACTGTACATAGTGTGAGTACGCCCTTAGATTCCAGTGCCTGTGTAAAAAATGTAGCAAACCATTTGTACATGACTAATGTGTAAAGTCAAATTTCTAAATTTAAACTACACTCAAAAACCGATGTTCGCTGTTTGTTTAAACTATTTATTTAAAATGAGCTGAAACAACACAATTCCTAATGTTTATTGGGGGACAACTTCATTGTTTTATGTTCAATCCACTCGAATTTGTAAAAACTAAGTAAAAAAAAAATTAATAAGTTAACATAGGCCCTATCCTAATTCTATTTTTCTAAAACTATGATGGTAAAACACGAACGCGGTTATAAATGTATTAAAACATGCTTGTTTGTTGTAAAAAATTTTAATAATGACAAAAATACAAATTTGTGCATCTCCTTCCGTTTGCAGCCGTCCTGCCGTTGTAGATGATGTATTCTGAGAAATTATCTTACCCCTTGGTCTCTAGTGTTATCCTGAAAAATCTCTATTTGAAGGAGAATCTAGCCCTTCCCCTTAGCCTTATGCCTTCAAGCTAAAGAGAATTGGGACACCTCTACCCTTTCACATGAACGTGCAAAATGAGGGGTAGGGGTAAGCGGAAGGGCTAAGGGGTAGAATTAGCATTGGGCCCTAATTCCTGCATGTTGCCCCAACACAAATCGATTGTGTGAAACCCAACATTTTTTACAGTGTAAACATTTTTGATGACTGTTTTATTACTTGAAACATTTACAAATTTCGAATCAGTGGTTTAGAGCAAATATCTAATTCCTACATTCACGTGATTTCAGTTAATGATACTTCGTTACTGTTTGGAAAAAATTCTAAATTTCAGTGGTTCTCGATTGGGGGCAATATCTGTGAAGCTATATATCCTGGAATAATATCTGTTTGATGAGATCAGTTCACTCTGTTTTATGAGCTGGTAGACATTTTAATTAGATATGTGTATAATTAAAATATATAATAGTTGTTAATAGTCTCTAACTGGCCTGTTTAAGCCATAACATGGAATGGAGCAAATAAAAACAAGCCCTGAAATAAATTGATAAATGACTGCATATTATTATTTCCATTTGCTAAAATTTACTGTCAGTAAAACATTTGCAGTGGGCTTTTAAAGTGTTCATAATGCATCTTTGGCCTGTGTTGTTGTACATTTTATTTTGTCCAACAGATGTCATGTCGTAATGCAATTGGTTCAACTGATTCAAAAGTTTGAAAAGTTTTGTTTCTCCCATCACGAATAATAAAATGAACTTTATATAGGTTTAAAGATATTTATTTTCTTGTGTTGTCTATTACAGTGTGAAGACATTCTAGCTGTTGGCATCTGTGTTGAAGAAACAAAGCTCCTACCTGTAACATCACTAACTGAATGCTTGACCTTCTTGCAAAGAGTTGAACAGCTTCAACCATGTATAGAGAGAGTGCTCAGTCCAGACTACAGCGCCCTCTGCAGCCCTGGCTGTCTTAAATACCTGGAGACTATACAGTGAGCAATACAAATTGACAACAAAAAAATTGGATTACTAAAAAGCATAACTTCATGTTGTATAGTTTCATACACATTATAATTAACCATTCACTTTATGTCTTATATCCTATTGACGCAGGTCAGTGTGGCAGGGTATACTCCTAGTGGCTGTTTTTATTGAGAAGGTTGTCATCAAGATGAAAAAAGGAGATGAACGGATAATAGCACTAACTCTGAAACACTGCAGTCAGTTACATGGGGTGAGTCTAGACTTCCCTGTTTATTTAAAGGAGATTTTAATGTAGAATTACTTTATAGTCTAGTTCTCTCACTTCACTGAAACTGTTTTATTTAGGTAATTTCTTTTTAAATTTTAACATAAACCACTTAATCTTCATTACTCTCTCTCGCAGCTAGTGGAAGGGTCTCCTGATTTCAGGAGCAAAGACAATCTTCAGCAAATCATTCGCATACTCAATGATTACCATGAGGAGTCCATCAGCAGCGAACTGCGGTACACTTCACTGATCTGTTTAATGGCACCTGCACTTTAGTAAACCCTAAACTCATTGTGAATACGTACACAGGTCTACGTTTCTTGAGATGTCATAATCTAGCAATAGTCCAAACAACCAGGTAGCATTTCTGTCATATGTTCAGGCACACTTTGTGGTGCTATCTTAAAGATTTTTTGACCACAGTGTTGGTCCGAATATTAGAAGTGATAGACAGAGATTGCAATTTGTACCAACTGTATGGTGAAAGGCTCAATGAGAGTCTGGCCCAATTCTGGCTGGATATCTTTGATGTACTTGGTAGTATGTCTACTTGCAGTTTTTGTGAATCCACCAGAGGCCGCTGTGTACACTTTTTGATAATCTCAAATTTCTCCCACGCATGCAATTTGCATGTGCTCTTCTCACCTCTGCTGGTCTTAAATCCAACAGAGGGTGCAACAATATACACTTCAGCCGACCAGCTTGCTGTTGACTGACTGACTGACCTGCCCACCCCCTTACCTAAACCGATAGTGTGTTCTAAAGCAATCTGTTTTTGTTTTATCTGGTTTCTGGAACTGTTCTTTGCCGGACTCAAACCCTGTCATTGTGGTTCACTCTACTCCGCATCCTAAGTGCACCGGCATACGTGGTAAGCTACTGGGAAAACTGGTAACACAGAAAAACCCGTTCATACGGAGGTAAGCGGTCAGGGGTAGCGCAAAAAGAAACAGAAGCTGTCCCTATATCACCCCATATTGTTTGTTTTATAGATGAAATGCAGGCACATGGGTAAATTTTTTGCAGTCTCTAGAAATGTAGACAGGGGTGCATATTCACAACGAGCCTGGGTTGACTTTACTAACTTTAAATGAATTATTTTCTATTTCTTTTGTCTAGGCCATGCTATTCCAATAAGAAACTCTCTGTTTGTTGATTACTTTTCTCTATACTCTTCATTCTCAGATATGGTGTGAAGTGCCGCGTGTGTCTGATGGAGCTGTCAGAGCCCTTTGCTCTTCCTTGTGAGCATGTGTTTTGTCGGTCCTGTCTGAGGAGGTCCATGGAGAGAGAAGAAGCACAGCATTGTCCCGTGTGCAGAGAACCTCTGTCAAACAATTACCAACCAACTGTCTCCACAACCCTAAAGTGAGTTTAATTCCTTATTCTTGATATTCTTAGCCTCTAATACCCACTACTATGTGTATATGCGGTGATTCCCTTGTAAAGTAATTTCATTTTCAAGTTACAGCTTTGCCCTGAAACAACATAAGGAGATAATAAAATGCTGTAACACATTTTTCCTGGAAGTGGTTTCTCGATTTTGTTTGACTGATGATCAAGATCCTCCAGATGATCTGGTGGAACTGCTTTTCTCTCTTCTCATCTCAGCACAAGGTGCGTTAATTTTATTACATCCCATTATGCAATGTCTGTACATAGTTGGTTGTTGTTTTTTTTGTGCTTGAGGAGAACTAGTTTCAGTGGTAAAGCTCTCAAATTACCATTCAAATATAAAGTGATCCATGCAACTTCTACTCTGTCAGTCTGTTTTTTAAATTTTCAATTCATCTTTGTTTCTATAGCGCTTTTTCAATGTAGATTATGTCAAAGCAGCTTAACATAGAAGTTCTATTAAATTGAAACTGCTTCAGTCCAGTTTTCAGAGTAAAATTTCAGTTTGGTTCAGTTCAGTGTGGTTTTAATTGCACTGCTGAAAGTCTAATCACTGAAAAACAAATCCATTGATGTGCAGCTCCACAAGTCCCAAACCAAGCAAGCCAGTGGCAAGGAACAAACTTCAGCAATTAAAGAGCCCATATAATACATGAAATAGGGTCATATTTTGGTTGTAAGGGTCTCCAACAATATGCATGCAAGGTCAAAAAACACTTTCATGGTCTTATAATCTGCATTTATTTTTACCTAATTATCCCAGCGACTCCAATATGAATCGTCCAGTGATTCATTTGTTACCAAACCCCTCCTTAGCGCGAAGCTAATCTGTGCTGATTGGACCGATGACAGTCTGTTGCGATTGGTCGACACTGACTGCCTTATGCGACAGAGTAAAATGCCCAGCAGTTAATCAACAAAATAGAAGTAGTCACAGTGCATACACGCTCGATAGTGTAAGGCGTGGAGTTGTAAATGGATGGATACCAGTGGATGAATGTAAATACAGACGATGGACTTGAAAATACAGACGACTAACTATTTTATTGAGCAAAAACTCCCAAGAACTGGCAAGGAGATCTCCTAGCTTCTCAAATTCTGCTCTTTTCACAGACACACACACACACACACACACATATTGCCCTCGTCCTCGCGTACGCGTCCACACACACACACACACAACCCTCCTCCAGACGACATCGCGCACACACACACACACATAACCCTCCTCCAGACGACATCGCGCACACACACACACATAACCCTCCTCCGGACGACAACCCGCGCGCACACACACACACACAAACACACACACATTACCCTCCTCCACGAGAACGTAAACAAAGCGGCACACGTCGCATTTTTAGCGTGGCTTTGCACGCAATATGAGAATATAGCGAGTTAACCTGATACAGTACATGCGGTTAGAAGTAACATCACAACTAAATACATTTGCAAGCTAGAGTAAACGAGGCAACAACTTTAATCGCACGTACTTACACTTGTGAAATGGAGGAAGAAACCGATCCATGTCCTGACATGTCCATCAGTAGTCTTTACTGATCCTTCCTTTAACAAACAAAGTATTCTTTGTAGCATGTAGTTTCCAGAAGTTTTCAGTAGTTTCCAACTGCCCAAGGCTGGGTTATAATGCTGAGGTTTCATCTTTGGGTAGAGACTCAATAATATCCATCTGAAGTGTGACTTCAATCGACCGGCATGTGTGTGTGTTTGTGTGTGTGGGTGGGTTTCTGTGTTAGAGGGCGGGGCCTCAGGTTTCAAATCCCCCGGGTTTGCGCGTGCGCCTGAATAACTTGGTTTCGTTAGTACGTCATGGCGAAACACCTAATGACTCGTTATCAAGACGACTCGTTTGAAGCACTATGAGTCGACTCTTCTATAGATGAATCAACAGTATTAAACACTGTATTCTTACAGATTTAAGCCTTAGCTGGATATTTCACTTCACTTAGAGCTGTGTTACACACTACATGGAAGGGCATTTTCAAAAACCCATAATATGGGCTCTTTAATGAAAGTGAAGGGAAAAAAAACACAAGAAAAACCAGGCTCAGTTGGGCATAACCATTTCTCCTCTGGCCAAACTTCTTGTGCAGAGCTGCAGTCCAGGCGCCGAAGGCTGGAAAGCCTAAGTCTAGTCTAAGTCTTCAGAAATCATACAGTCACTGAAATTTAAAGAGGTTTTTTTTTACACTTTTAATTTCCTTTAGTGCCAAAAAATCTACAAAATTACAAAATCCATTTCAAAATAAGTTAATCTCAATGTCACTAAGCAAGCACCGTTTCAGAACACCTTCAGATGCTATGATTGTAGTGCTGAGTTACCTTTTTGGGAGTGTACGCATCACAATATTCCAAGTTTATGTAATTCCCACACAAGGAGTTGAGGCCTGGCTCGAGTCTTGTTAGTAGTGTTGTTTTTTTGTTTAAAAGTTGCATGGATCAGATATGCTAATAATACACACATGAAGCAAAAGCTTATTTCCATTTAAAGAATCACATGCAAATAAATGCGTTTTTGCTTAAAATGAGGCATTTGCATTATGGTTTAATTAATTACGTATTGTAAAAAATTATAATTTGACTCCTTGTAAAAATATACCCCTTCTGTATGCCAAAGCCGAACAACTCACATGAACAGACCAGTTTGTGAATAAATATTTTGTGTTTAGTTTTGTGAATCAAATTAACCTATTAACTGAAAAGATCTACTGTAAAAAAATATATTTACTCTAAAATATGCACTCATAGTTACTTTTTCACTGCTTTATAATGATTACAGGAGATGTTTATAAGACCAGAGAGCTTACCCCATTCCTGGAATGTGTTGACCAGAGTCCCGTGGTGCGATCTGTGCTACCTAAACTTCTTATGCAATACAGGTGCTGCAACACTGACAACACATACTGATACACACCTTAATGCACACAGGCATTTGTGACCTGTTTTACTTGCTCTCATCTAGCTCCATCTCAAATTCTGATAAGTCAATCTCCTCAGTTTGAAACAGGTAAAGAAGCATATTCAGAGTTACCTGGAAGACCTAGAGAACAAGCTTCTGGACAAAGAGGACAGAACTGAACTCTACAGACTCTTTGTCAACTGTTTCCAGGTCTGTCATAACAAGTATTTAAATATAAAGTATTCCATGTTTCTTTTCACCACACATGCAAACTTCACTCAGAATTGCCAGCTAAACCAGCCGGGACTCTAACCAGCGACCTACTTGCTGTAAAGCGACATTGCTAACCACTAAGCCACCATGTCGCCCTTCATATTATTGAATATTATTTAAAACAAAAATTGTAAACTTCAAAACCAAACAATGTATTTAACTCGTTGAAACATGGAACCATAAATCTGCAGGAGAATACATTATTATTCATATTTATAGAATTATGTAACCGCGTTTCAATTTGGTACTGTAACTGCACAGAACTATACACCATTCTCAGGTATATTGTTAGAAATAATAATTAAAAAAATTGGTCTAATTGACAAGTAAAAGTCGGGGTGTGCGTTTCCCAAACAATGACATAACTCACGCCTAAATTATCATAGTACTGTGCATCATTTGGGAAAAGAATGATATAGTGATGAGGGTTTCCCAAAACCGTAGTTTCTCTGTCGCAGATCCATCGTTTGAACCACAGTAGTTATAACGTAAAATGTCCTTAATGACGCTCTAAATGGGGTGGAGTAACAACTTCTGTAAAAAACAAAAAAAAACAAATTTTTTGTGCAAGTAATATTGTTTTACACGCACACACTTAAAAAAAATCCAATATTCGTTTTGGTAAAAACATGCACACTTTTTCCATATTAATTTAAATATATATATAAACGGCATGTATAGAATAGGGCCTATGTTTCCTTCATAAATATTATTTAGAATATTCAATATTCTATTCTAAAGCATAAAATCACTAAGCTAACACATATTTTAATCTCATATATAAACCGTTACTGATTGTTATTTACAGTAGGATATTAATAAGAAATGAACAAAAAAATCCTATATAATATAATAAATATATATAATAACATAAATATAATAATTATTATTAATATTATTTTTTTATTATTATTATGATAAAGTAGGACATTTTTTATTTATTTTTTCTTTTCTTTTATTTATTGTAAAAGTTTATTTTACAATTTGACCCATTCAAACCACTGTAGAAATGTTCTAACCAACAGGCCCATGTCATATACAGCACAGATACATTTCTTATTAAATACCCTACTATAAATTTAAACCATTAACGTATGCCATATATTTTTGTTTTCACAAGCTTTGGAGACGTAACAGAAATTCCCCTTTTAAATAATAGGTCACCTATAGCTTTCGTCATGAGCCACCGATGTGCTCAAAATGGCATAAATGTTTTCAAAGTGCACTGTGAAGGGAATGCTATTGTCAATATGAAGAAATTGAACTGTAAAAATACTTTGAAAGCAAATTACATCAAAGTAAAATGAATAGGGCAAAGAGAGGATAACTGGGAATAGAACACAACCAGGAACTATGCTTCAAACTACAGCTCTTTAGGTGTAGTTGCAAGCTTACTAGTTGGTGATGCAGTTTGCGAATGTTCGTTGGAACGATGGATTTGGGAAACGTTAAGTCAACCAACTATGTTTGTAACGGCAGAACTTGTGACCTTAGTTGGCTAACGATGGTTTCGGAAACAGATCCCTGATTGTTTTATTGCATTTGGCACTTATTGAATGTTAATTTTAGGCTATTTGCGTGTGTCTATGCAGGATACACTGTTGTGTTCTGATTCTAATGGAGATCATAAACATCTAAGGGAAAACACAAACTTCCTTAGCCGCCTGGCTCGTAAGCAGACTCCTTCCAGACAGAATGACCCTGCTGAGTTTCTGATGTCTATGGCTCGCCTCAGAATGTGTCTGGACTCTGCTGCCTATATCCTGTCTAAAGCTATCTGCCAAAAAAACAGTAAGAGGGGCTTCCAGTCTGACCTGTTCATTGCAGTTATAGTACATTACAAAGCCATATAAAAAAACTAAGCTGTTATTTAATGTTTTGTTGTGCAATTTTTCCATGTGTTTGGTATTGTACAGATTTTGTGGAAGCGGAGTTCAAGTTTATGGAGCAAGTTAAAGCTGTGTGTGACTACTGTGACAATGACTGGTACAGAGTTTACCTTCTCCGAGCTCTCAACAGGCAGGCTGGCATGGATTTCCTGCAAGCACTGATCAACAGCACTGATTATGAATGGATCTTCCCTGCAGAGATGATGCGCCTTCATGTACGACCATTCAAGATGATGCTGGAACATGGGCTGTTGGTATTCATGAAGTTAAGTTTGACATTTTGTGATCATTGTTGTGTTATCTTCTACAGAGGTTGATTCCAGCAGAGGTGGATCGTTTTTTGTGTTGTGGCCAGTCATACCGTGCTCTTAGAGACGGTGTGGGGGAATCAACACAGGTGGGGACGACTGATGGACTGAAAGAAGCTCTACAGGTCAGAATCTTTGAATATAAAAACCCATATATGCTTAACTGTGCGAGCAAGCCACTTACTATTCAAACTCAGCAGAAGTCATAACTTGGTTAATAAATGTGTTTTTAAATGTTTAATTAGAAAATGCTTGTACTTTATTTTGCAGAATGTTTACTTAACAAAGGCAGATTTACTGTAGGCATGGGCAATATGGGTGATCGGTAGGGCCAGACAGAATCTGTGGACATTTTTTGCTATTTCTGCACAGAATTTTGTATCCCAACTAAAAACTTAATATACGAAATAAAAAATAATACAATTTTAACTTTTATTTAATGTTTGCTATGCAAATCCAATTAGATCCACTAGGGGAGGCATGGAGACACCTTCCTTAACCCGCCCCCCACTCTTACCTTTCGTAATGTGCCTTAAACTTCTGAATAACAGTGTAATTATGTTGGCTTGAGAAAGCCAACATACTGTAATGCTACTTAAACTTATTCTTATTATTATGTTGGCTTGAGAAAGCCAACATACTGTAATGCTACTTAAACTTATTCTTATTATGTTGGCTTGAGAAAGCCAACATACTGTAATGCTACTTAAACTTATTCTTATTATTATTATTATTATTCCGGCTTCTGACCAAAAAAAAGCAATCGCTTCTCCTCCCAGGGCTTAGATGCTACAAGCCCCAAATTTGGTCAAAAGCTGTCTATTGCCCATGAGATGGTTGCTGTATGTCCTCATGCCGATAAGATTTGTAGTTTTTGAATTAAAAATTTTTTGAATTAAAAAATTGTAAATATTACAATCGAGTATTTGGGGCTTATAAAAAAAGTATACAATCCTCAAATTTGGCCAAAAGATGTGCTTTAAATTGAAGATAATTATCATATTTATTTGGTGTAATTATAAATAACAGTTTTCCTATAAATATTTTTTTTTATATTAAATTTGTTAATTTCAAACCTAAAGCTTGTCAGAGTGTCCACGAGATGGCGCCAGAAGACTATTTTTGAGCCCTTTGGAATTGAGTTTACTGCACCTTTGCACCTTTAAGAGGCACTTTCCCTTTAAGAGGCGGAGATATCCGGGCTGACTGTTTTTGCTCTACAGAAAGTTCGGCTCATTTCAGACGTGCTTGTTACAACATTTGAAGCTGTTTACATTAAAATTTCTCAGCGAAAATACACAAATACAAGTGATACAACTCTATTTAGTGTTCCTTTAAGAGGCAGAAAGATCGGTGATCAAAATCGAGGTAAGATTGAACTTAATTCTGGTCATCAGTCATTCTTATTATGCTCGCGGTGAACTCCATAAAGCGTAATAAAACTGATCTGGATGCAGAATCATCCGCGTCGGAATCGACCCGCATGCATTTCTGTCTGCTACCCTGTGAGTTTTAAATACATGCCTCTGATGTTGGCAGAAACATAACTTTACTTCGGATATTTCTTTCAAAACAGAATATTCTGTGCCGTGAAAAGCCTTCTCCTCTACTTGTGATAATGAAAATGAAAGCCATGCGAACATTCACGTATATTATACAATAAACATATTGAATATAAAATCATTCTAACTTTATTTTTCATCTGTATTTAACCCACTAAAACAGCTATGTCCTTGCCACAAAACTAATAATCCATCTTCAAAACCTACAATTTCTTTCCATTCGGTCCGGTCGGACCTGAACGTCTTTATACCGTTGTAATCACGTGTAAATTCTAACAAAGACAATGTTTGCACTTTTTAAATCACATTTTATTTATTGTGCAAAAATAAATCCAAACAGCATCATAACCAATAAAAACACACAGCAAAGAAAATGTATTTTAAAATAGTGAATATATATATATATATACATACAATGTATGAAGATTTTTTATATCCCCTTAATATGCTCTGCTGTTGCTGCATCAATTTCTCTCTGTAACATCTGGATTGCAATTTACACTGCAAATTTTCACAATTTATTATTATGGGGGGAAAATCCAAACAGTATTATAATGTTTTAAAGCAAAAATGTTAAGAACAATTATTTACAAACAGGTAAAATAAAGTGTGTGTATATACATATATATACATACAGTTGAAGTCAGAATTATTAGCTCCCCTGTTTATTTTTTCCCCAATTTCTGTTTAATGGAGGGAAGATTGTTTCAGCACATTTCTAAGCATAATAGTTTTAATAACTCATTTCTAATAACTTCTTTATTTTATCTTTGCCATGATGACAGTAAATAATATTTGACTTGATATTTTTCAAGACACTTCTATTCAGCTTAAAGTGACATTTAAAGCCTTAACTAGGTTAATAAGGTGAACTAGGCAGGTTAGGGTAATTAGGCAAGTTATTGTATAACGATGGTTTGTTCTGTAGACAATCAAAAAAAATTTGCTTAAAGGGGATAATAATTGTGTCCCAAAAATAGTTTTTAAATAATTAATAACTGCTTTTATTCTAGCCGAAATAAAACAAATAAGACTTTCTCAAGAAGAAAAAATATTATCAGACATACAGTGAAAATTTCCTTGCTCTGTTAAACATAATTTGGGAAATATTTAAAAAAGGGGAAAAAAATCAAAAGGGGGTTAATAATTCTGTCTTAAACTGTATATATGTATGTATATATATACATACATATATACATATATACATATATAACACATACACACATTTATGGTTAGGGTTATAAGGATTATTTCTTAATCCCCCTTTTATGTTAGCAAAAACATAAGTTTACTTCAGATATTTCTTTCAAAACAATATTCTGTGCCGCAAAAGAGCCTTCTCCTCACTTGTGATAATGACAATGAAAGCCAAGCTTTTGGCCTATGCTGTACCAAAAAAAAAATAAAATCACCCAGGTGATGACAACTAAATATTACGATTATAACATTGTGTTAGTGGCCAGTGGGGTGGAACAACGTCATTGGTCAGAATTAACCACGTGATGAAGACGGCCTATAATATTGTATTTAATGCGATTTTCTTCCTGTAAACTGTATATATAACTATATAACTATAACTATATATATAATGCTGCAAATTACTGTAAATTGACTGTACTCTATATTAACAGCAAAAATTATAAGACTGATTAAATAAAAGACAAATTAACTAAATGCATGTGCTATTGTTTCATTAGTATTTTAATTTAATATTTTTCTTTATATGATATTTATTATAATGTAATTTTGTTCAGATTATAATATATACTATAAATACTAACTATACTATAGTGATCTGCATTAAACAACCTGAACAAATCAGTCCTCTCTCTCTCTCTCTCTCTCTCTCGATTTGATCAAAAATGTAAATGAGGCCTTCCGATTAACAGTCCAGTGGACCCTAGCAACAGCCTAGAAACCACTCAGAACACCCTAGCAACTACCTAGGAATGCCTTAGCTACACCTTAGCAACCACCTAGCAACCACTTATCAACCGCTGTGCTTCCTGCCAACTGCCTTTGAGTCCCCGGCGCAGTCACGTTGGCTTTCTCAAGCCAACATCAAAGTTCGTCAACGAACTTTAGGTTCTAGTTATTATTATTATTATTCCGGCTTCTGACCAAAAAAAAGCAATCGCTTCTCCTCCCAGGGCTTAGATGCTACAAGCCCCAAATTTGGTCAAAAGCTGTCTATTGCCCATGAGATGGTTGCTGTATGTCCTCATGCCGATAAGATTTGTAGTTTTTGAATTAAAATTTTTTTGAATTAAAAAATTGTAAATATTACAATCGAGTATTTGGGGCATATAAAAAAGTATACAATCCTCAAATTTGGCCAAAAGATGTGCTTTAAATTGAAGATAATTATCATATTTATTTGGTGTAATTATAAATAACAGTTTTCCTATAAATATTTTTTTTATATTAAATTTGTTAATTTCAAACCTAAAGCTTGTCAGAGTGTCCACGAGATGGCGCCAGAAGACTATTTTTGAGCCCTTTGGAATTGAGTTTACTGCACCTTTGCACCTTTTACAATTTCTTTCCATTCGGTCCGGTCGGACCTGAACGTCTTTATACCGTTGTAATCACGTGTAAATTCTAACAAAGACAATGTTTGCACTTTTTAAATCACATTTTATTTATTGTGCAAAAATAAAACATCCAAACAGCATCATAACCAATGAAAACACACAGCAAAGAAAATGTATTTTAAAATAGTGAATATATATATATATACATACAATGTATGAAGATTTTTTATATCCCCTTAATATGCTTTGCTGTTGCTGCATCAATTTCTCTCTGTAACATCTGGATTGCAATTTACACTGCAATGTTCACAATTTATTATTATGGGGGGAAAATCCAAACAGTATTATAATGTTTTAAAGCAAAAATGTTAAGAACAATTATTTACAAACAGGTAAAATAAAGTGTGTGTATATACATATATATACATACAATTGAAGTCAGAATTATTAGCTCCCCTGTTTATTTTTTCCCCAATTTCTGTTTAATGGAGGGAAGATTGTTTCAGCACATTTCTAAGCATAATAGTTTTAATAACTCATTTCTAATAACTTCTTTATTTTATCTTTGCCATGATGACAGTAAATAATATTTGACTTGATATTTTTCAAGACACTTCTATACAGCTTAAAGTGACATTTAAAGCCTTAACTAGGTTAATAAGGTGAACTAGGCAGGTTAGGGTAATTAGGCAAGTTATTGTATAATGATGGTTTGTTCTGTAGACTATCAAAAAAAATTTGCTTAAAGGGGCAAATAATTGTGTCCCAAAAATAGTTTTTAAATAATTAATAACTGCTTTTATTCTAGCCGAAATAAAACAAATAAGACTTTCTCAAGAAGAAAAATATTATCAGACATACAGTGAAAATTTCCTTGCTCTGTTAAACATAATTTGGGAAATATTTAAAAAAGGGAGAAAAAAAAATCAAAAGGGGGTTAATAATTCTGACTTCAACTGTATATATGTATGTATATATATACATACATACATACATATATACATAAATAACACATACACACATTTATGGTTAGGGTTATAAGGATTATTTCTTAATCCCCCTTTTATGTTAGCAAAAACATAAGTTTACTTCAGATATTTCTTTCAAAACAATATTCTGTGCCGCAAAAGAGCCTTCTCCTCACTTGTGATAATGACAATGAAGCTTTTGGCCTATGCTGTACCAAAAAAAAAAATAAAATCACCCAGGTGATGACAATTAAATATTACGATTATAACATTGTGTTAGTGGCCAGTGGGGTGGAACAACGTCATTGGTCAGAATTAACCACGTGATGAAGACGGCCTAATATTGTATTTAATGCGATTTTCTTCCTGTAAACTGTATATATAACTATATAACTATAACTATATATATAATGCTGCAAATTACTGTAAATTGACTGTACTCTATATTAACTGCAAAAATTATAAGACTGATTAAATAAAAGACAAATTAACTAAATGCATGTGCTATTGTTTCATTAGTATTTTAATGTAATATTTTTCTTCATATGATATTTATTATAATGTAATTTTGTTCAGATTATAATATATACTATGAATACTAACTATACTATAGTGATCTGCATTAAACAACCTGAACAAATCAGTCCTCTCTCTCTCTCTCTCTCTCTCTCTCTCTCTCTCTCTCTCTCGATTTGATCAAAAATGTAAATGAGGCCTTCCGATTAACAGTCCAGTGGACCCTAGCAACAGCCTAGAAACCACTCAGAACACCCTAGCAACTACCTAGGAATGCCTTAGCTACACCTTAGCAACCGCCTAGCAACCACTTATCAACCGCTGTGCTTGCTGCCAACTGCCTTTGAGTCCCCGGCACAGTCACGTTGGCTTTCTCAAGCCAACATCAAAGTTCGTCAACGAACTTTAGGTTCTAGTTATTATTATTATTCCGGCTTCTGACCAAAAAAAAGCAATCGCTTCTCCTCCCAGGGCTTAGATGCTACAAGCCCCAAATTTGGTCAAAAGCTGTCTATTACTCATGAGATGGTTGCTGTATGTCCTCATGCCGATAAGATTTGTAGTTTTTGAATTAAAATTGTTTTAATTTAAAAATTGTATCGAGTATTTGGGGCATATAAAAAAGTATACAATCCTCAAATTTGGCCAAAAGATGTGTTTGAAATTACTGATAATTGTCATATTTATTTGGTGTAATTATAAATAACAGTTTTCCTATAAATTTTTTTTTATATTATAAATTTGTAAAATTCAGACTCAAAGCGTGTCAGAGTGTCCACGAGATGGCGCCAGAAGACTATTTTTGAGCCCTTTGTAATTTAGTAATGGCCCTTTAAGAGGCACTTTCCCTTCAAGAGGCGGGGATATCCGTGCTGACTGTTTTGAATCTACAGAAATTCGGGCTCATTTCAGACGTGCTTGTTACAACATTTGAAGCTGTTTACATTAAAATACTTCAGCGAAAGTACACAAATACAAGAAATACAACACTTTTTAGTGTTTCTTTAAGAGGCAGAGAGATCTGTGGTCAAAATCGAGGTAAGATTGAACTTAATTCTGGTCATCAGTCATTCATATTATGCTCGCGGTGAATTCCATAAAGCGTAATAAAACTGATTTGGATGCAGAATCTTCCGCGTCGGAATCGACCCGCATGCATTTCTGTCTGCTACCCTGTGAGTTTTAAAATGCATGCCTCTGATGTTGGCAGAAACATAACTTTACTTCAGATATTTCTTTCAAAACAAAATATTCTGTGCCGTGAAAAAGCCTTCTCCTCTACTTGTGATAATGAAACTGAAAGCCATGCGAACATTCACGTATATTATACAATAAACATATTGAATATAAAATCCTTCTAACTTTATTTTTAATCTGTATTTTAACCCTCTAAAAACAGCTATGTCCTTGCCACAAAACTAATAATCCATCTTCAAAACCTACAATTTCTTTCCATTCGGTCCGGTCGGACCTGAACGTCTTTATACCGTTGTAATCACGTGTAAATTCTAACAAAGACAATGTTTGCACTTTTTAAATCACATTTTATTTATTGTGCAAAAATAAAACATCCAAACAGCATCATAACCAATAAAAACACACAGCAAAGAAAATGTATTTTAAAATAGTGAATATATATATATATACATACAATGTATGAAGATTTTTTATATCCCCTTAATATGCTCTGCTGTTGCTGCATCAATTTCTCTCTGTAACATCTGGATTGCAATTTACACTGCAATGTTCACAATTTATTATTATGGGGGGAAAATCCAAACAGTATTATAATGTTTTAAAGCAAAAATGTTAAGAACAATTATTTACAAACAGTGAAAATAAAGTGTGTGTATATACATATATATACATATAGTTGAAGTCAGAATTATTAGCTCCCCTGTTTATTTTTTCCCCAATTTCTGTTTAATGGAGGGAAGATTGTTTCAGCACATTTCTAAGCATAATAGTTTTAATAACTCATTTCTAATAACTTCTTTATTTTATCTTTGCCATGATGACAGTAAATAATATTTGACTTGATAGTTTTCAAGACACTTCTATACAGCTTAAAGTGACATTTAAAGGCTTAACTAGGTTAATAAGGTGAACTAGGCAGGTTAGGGTAATTAGGCAAGTTATTGTATAATGATGGTTTGTTCTGTAGACTATCAAAAAAAATTGCTTAAAGGGGCAAATAATTGTGTCCCAAAAATAGTTTTTAAATAATTAATAACTGCTTTTATTCTAGCCGAAATAAAACAAATAAGACTTTCTCAAGAAGAAAAAATATTATCAGACATACAGTGAAAATTTCCTTGCTCTGTTAAACATAATTTGGGAAATATTTAAAAAAGGGAGAAAAAAAATCAAAAGGGGGTTAATAATTCTGACTTCAACTGTATATATGTATGTATATATATATACATACATATATACATATATAACACATACACACATTTATGGTTAGGGTTATAAGGAATATTTCTTAATCCCCCTTTTATGTTGGCAAAAACATAAGTTTACTTCAGATATTTCTTTCAAAACAGAATATTCTGTACGGCAAAAAAGCCTTCTCCTCACTTGTGATAATGACAATGAAAGCCAAGCTTTTGGCCTATGCTGTACCAAAAAAAAAATAAAATTACCCAGGTGATGACAACTAAATATTACGATTATAACATTGTGTTAGTGGCCAGTGGGGTGGAACAACGTCATTGGTCTGAATTAACCACGTGATGAAGACGTCCTATAATATTGTATTTAATGCGATTTTCTTCCTGTAAACTGTATATATAACTATATAACTACAACTATATATATAATGCTGCAAATTACTGTAAATTGACTGTGCTCTATATTAACTGCAAAAATTATAAGACTGATTAAATAAAAGACAAATTAACTAAATGCATGTGCTATTGTTTCATTAGTATTTTAATGTAATATTTTTCTTCATATGATATTTATTATAATGTAATTTTGTTCAGATTATAATATATACTATAAATACTAACTATACTATAGCGATCTGCATTAAACAACCTGAACAAATCAGTCCTCTCTCTCTCTCGATTTGATCAAAAATGTAAATGAGGCCTTCCGATTAACAGTCCAGTGGACCCTAGCAACAGCCTAGAAACCACTCCGAACACCCTAGCAACTACCTAGGAATGCCTTAGCAACATCTTAGCAACCGCCTAGCAACCACTTCTCAACCGCTGTGCTTCCTGCCAACTGCCTTTGAGTCCCCGGCTCAGTCACGTTGGCTTTCTCAAGCCAACATCAAAGTTTGTCAACGAACTTTAGGTTCTAGTTTGTAGTTGGAGTTTGAGCATGTGTGTTGTTTCTCAGGCATCAGTTGGTTCGAGCCCTTTGAAAAATGCCCTGCTGACACTAGCTGTGTTCAGGCAGGTCACCTGTCACTTCATGTCGCCAGAAAGAACTCTACATCCTCAAGAACAGGTAAGAGTTGGTTAGGTTTTATCATTATAAATCAGCACTGAATATAAAGATTTCAGCAGAAATCATTGTTGGACTCACTTGACTGTGTTTATCTATAAATAAATAATCAATTCTTTATTAAAGACGTTACTTCATCCTGACAGACTTAAATACTTGAATTACCCCTTTGGTCAACAGCAAATCAGCATCTTGGAAAAAGTTATTAGAGACAACATGTCAGGACATGCCAGAGAGTTCTGCACTGCTCTCTTATCCAATCACATTGGAGGTCCAGGATCTAATCTGCGTCTTGGTACTGGTGTACCTGCTCAGCGACGTCCAGTGCTGGAGCTCCTGGTGCATGCATGCACAGTGTTTTATAGCGGGAACAGACTGATCAGTCCTCTCTTCAACATTGCCTCTCAACCTCAAAACATGACAGTAAGGACTTCTATCTTACAACACATTTTGAAAATTTGTGTGATTTGATTATCATCGACCATGATGATGATGATTTTTTTGTTCTCAGGGAGCCTTCTTACCCACAATGCCTGATGACCATACCAGTGAGGCCAAACAATGGCTCTCAGAGAAAAAACTAAAGATGTACTGTGAGTATGACAAGTAAAAATACAAACACTTCGTGTAACACTTTATTTCAGTGTCTTTGTTACTCATAAGAGTCATTACTGGCATTATGCATGAAGCATATTTACAGGAAGCCCTAAACCAATCCCTAATACTAAACCTATAGTGAATACATGTTGTTAATTAAAATTACTCAGTATTTTTACAATTACACATTACAATTACTGTAACAAGAACACCATAAAAAATAACTAAACCTTCTTCAAATGGTACCTGACTTGAGTTTTTTTTCCCTTCTTCACAGTTTGTTCTAATAGTCATGCATGCTTTGTTGGAGAGGTAAGACGTATTTTTTTCCATTTTTATTTCCACTAATAGAAACTATGGTCTGGGAAATTAATAATTTGTTTACACGATTTAGTGTGGCAGACCAATGGCCAAGTCAAAATGTGCCACTTGTGGAGTCGAAATAGGAGGTGAAGGACATATACCAGTGCCAGGTTTTACTGAAGCCTATGGCGACTATGACAGGACACGACCTGGACATATCCTGGGACAAGCCAGAACCAGGTCTGAAGCCCCAAACAGAAAACTCACACTAGCACAGTCTTGTGTTCTCCGTCTGTGTCTTCATCTGGCTATGCTGCAAGGGCTTATTCACTACCAACAGGTATTAAGATTTAAAGGAGGTTTATTTTGTTTTTGAGCAATTATAACTTCTAAATATCAGCTATTTGAATCAAAGCACTGTTTTCTAAAGCTCTTGCTTCTTCACAGGGCATCCGAAATATGATCCATCCAGAAGTTTCTGATGTCTATCAGTTCCTCTGGCAACATCTTGAGAAAGACATGGAGGTTCTTGGGAAGACTTTAACTCTTAACATTGATGACTCTGCCATTGTAATTCATCTGATCTTCAGCAGGTTTCTTCAGACCACCCCAGGTATCCATATTAAGCTTGACTAAAATTAATCCTGCTTGAACTTTGCATATATTGTACTTACTTACATAGCATCATATGTGTTTAATGTATATGATTTAAACAAAATTCAGTACAGTTTTAGTATTACTTGCATACTAATAGTATTTATTATATTTTTAAATCAATCAACTTTTAAGATTAAGTTATTTATAATACTTACATTATTATCTCAGTTTTCATCAATTTACTGCTTATACTTATAATTATATTTGATCTTTTTTTCTATGTCAGTTGCCAATGTTGATCTTTCAACACGCAAGTCCAGGGAGCAGTGGGAGATTACAGTGTGTAAAACTGCTATCAGTCCTGTCTTGCAGGTCAGTCTTGAATATTATGTGAAAAAAATCTTATACCTGGGGCCTCATGTACGAAGACTTGCGTGGAAATCATACTAAAGCATTGCGTACACACAAAGCTGTAAATGTGTGTACGCAGAAAAAAATTCAGATGTATGAAACACTGCGTACGCCGAATCTCAAGCATATTCTTTTGTACATCTGAATGAACGTGAAACTAAGCGTAACATGAATGAGCACAAAACCCCTCCCTGCCTCCTCCCCCGTATGAATATGCTAATGACTATACTTTGGCAAAACTCAACGAAAAAGCAATGACAAAATCAAGCAAAAAGAGAAACTTTGAACAGAATGTGAATTGGAGGTGCTCCTTTCGGAGGTAGAATGGAGAAAAGCGGTGTTATTTGCAAGTTGGTTCTCCGGAATTAACAACAAAAGAAAAAAATAGAGTGGTTTATAGGTGTAAAATGTTGCAATACTCGCAACAGTCTCAGTGGCGCAGCTCATAAGACGCATGTCAACATGTTTTGACACGTTCGAGCATGAACTCGGTTCGAATCCAGCGTCTGATGAACTCTTTCTTCTTTTTTCCCCCGCTACATATCAGATTTTGCCAACTATTTATCACGAGAAAGACAAGTAGGAATCAATAAGTTTGTGCATCATATTTTTGATGTGCATCATATTTATCGAATGGAAATGTTTCTGATTCACGCATGCAAATTCATCTTCAGATAGTGTCTTTATAGCAATGTGCGTGCAGTAGATAGCTCAGATTACATTGGGAAAACAGGCGACCGCTGCAAATTAGGCTTTAATGTTTAGCTGGTCAACTGTATGGTATGGAAACCTTATATACCTGCCAGATGAACCCGTCTCATACAGCTGCCATTGCAAGGCTCAGACACTTTGTAGAGAGGAATTTAACAACTGCCTCAAGGAGTCGCCAATGGAAATAAAACAGACATGCACAAAAAATGTGCCTACGCCAGCCATAAAGCTGGCGTGGAGGTGCGCACATTCCCACGTTCAGTTCATCGTTAGTAAATCCAAACGTGAGCAATTCTGAGCGTGAAAACTGGCGTATGTATAATGTATAATTCTTTCTACTCATTATAGCTTTTTAAAATTAATTTACACGATTATTTGCTTAATTATTTGCATTAAATATGTATTCATAAAATAATAAAATTTATTTTATTTTAAATTTAATGTTTTTTTTCTATTCTAAATTTTAGATTGTTGTTTAACAATTATATTTTTGTAGAAATTGCATAATTATTAAATTGTTTAAAATATTATATTATATTAAAACTTTATGATTTGTTTAATTATTACCTTATACATTTTATGACATTTTTTATTTATGTGTCTTAATTCAGTTATTGTGTAATTATTTCTATTTTTACATTTCTTTGGCATTTTTCTCCCCTGGCAGGTTCTTGGGCCCTATTTTGAAAACTCTTAGGCCGTATTCACACTATGTACAGTTGCCTCGAACCGAGCCAAAGCATGCTTGTACCCCCTCCCGTCTCCCCCGACGGCCCGCACTCACACTACAATCGGGCCTTGGCACGCTTACGTCATCGATGCTGCGCTGTTCAGTGAGCGCTCTCGCTCAGCACAGAGATTTCTCTAGTTATATTATTTCAGTCGTTTGTTATGCAGTGACATGCAGTCAAATATTTCGGCAAACAGTCCTTAGGGATGCTGTGACACGCAGTCAGATATTTCGCCGAACAGATCCTCCACTTTTGACACTCATAAACAATCATAAAGCCCTCGTGCTGCAGGAATGAGAAGGTTTGCTGAAGGTGTGCAGCTGTCGTGCAGTGAGAGGTTTGCGTATTTAATAAACTATGGCAGTTTGCATTCATTGAACAGTAAGAATGATTAATAAATCCACATGAAACAGTCCCTTAAAAGTCCCGTCTCGCTTTCAGTTTCGGGCTTTGGCATGTTTTTGCACTCACACACAAGCGTACCGCGCCAAAGCCCAAGTGAACCGCGCTCAGGCACACCTCTTCCAACCGGGCCAGGGCCGGCCAAGTGAACTGTGCTTAAGCCCGATTCAGCGCCCTCACACTCAAACGATCCGGGAAACGGGCTTGGGCACGGTACGGATGGCATAGTGTGAGTAGGCCCTTACTTAACCCACTGGCCTAAAAACATTAATTACCTCCTAAAAACTGGCCAACAGTTAGTTGGCTACATTTACACTGCAGATCTTAATGGTCTATTCCGATTTTGTGACTATCCATTTTTTTAATGGCCTGCTTACATCATCTTTTAAAAGTGACTCTTATCCGATTGTCTGCATTTAAACAGCACACAGCAAAGGTGCATTGACCAGGAAAAAAAATGAGCAGGCACTGACTGACAGCTAATAATAAAAGAGCGCTCTTTTCTCCATTCCTGTATTTAATCTGTTCGCAGGGTTTCATTTGTAAAATTCTTTTTGACAGTTGTTTTACTATAGTTATGACTGAAAAGTTCTCGCTTGGCCATCTTCTTTTAATCTACGCCTTTTTAAACCAGTAGGTATCTTAAAGTAATGTCCATGGCGTGATTTATGCATGTGATGTATGCAACAGTTTTATCTTTATATTGGTTACGTGGCGGATGTTGCTCTCTCTCTCTCTCTCTTTCTTTCTCTCTCTCTCTCTCTCTCTCTCTCTCATTAACATGCTTAAATATTTGTGCTATATGACAATATAAAACCTGTTGAAGTCCTTGTGTATGAGATTTAAGGTTTGGGACTCTGAAATCTGTTCATTCGTCATTCACTACAAGTTTTTAATAATGCGCAACTCGCATTGACAGGTGAAAATCAGATCTACCTGCTTACACTGCAGACACGAAGACAAGGATTAGATTCATATTGGATAAAATTCCACATATTAACAAGGCAACATATGAATCTTATTTGAGTAAAAAGGAATCCATGTGATTTTTTTCCTGCTTACACGTACACGGTGCCATATCTGATCAGTGCCACATGGAAGAAAAAAAATCAGAATTGAGTCACTTGAACCATGCAGTGTAGTTGCAACCTTGGTTAACAGAAGAACAAATTAATTGCACTTGATTTAACCTTGTTTGCACTTGATGTTTGCCTCTTGTTTTCAGAATTTGGACCGAGAATTAAACAATGCACAGGATCTGATTGCAGCAGATAACAGACTTTCTAACAGTCCCCTGGTGAAGGTGCTGAGAGGAGATCCTCAAAGAATGCTTCAACTACCAGCTAACTGTCCCACCGAGCACTCTGCCTTTTGGAGCCCATCATCTGTCCTTGCTGTGGAAAGCATCTCTCAGCAAATAGACCAGGCTCAAGCACCTCTGCTCACGCTTTTTGTCCAAAAGGTTTGTTTACTTAACATTTAACATTCAACACAACTTTGTCAGATTACAGTAGCTGTGAATATGTTTTTATGTTGTGTGTGTTTGCATCATCAGGTGCATTATATAAGACAGCTGGACTGTTTGCCTGCTCTTGCTGCCCTTTTGTCTGATTTAATAAAAGTGCTTCCTCCAGGCTCTGAAACCCAGAACCACACCATCGCCTCACTGCTGCACTGTATTCCTGCAGGTCTGTCATACTCACTGTTGGAGATAGATTGTTGATTGATTTATCAAGTATGTAACATTGCTGTGCTGTAATTTGGGTTACTGAATATAGGCCACCAGAAGAAACTAATGTCAGAAAGAGTCGAGATATACATGAAAGTGTGGAACCAACTCAGAATGGAAATATCTAGTAACGGTAAGTTGTTAGAAGTTTACGTCTGTTATTTATGTGTGGTGATGTATGTATTCATATGTTGAATTAAGTATTATTACCCCCTTTTTAGATTTGACTGACAACTTAAAAATAAAAGTAATCACTAAAATCTATGATATCCATAAACTTTCATTGCTCATCTTTCAGTAATAAAACGATTCAATAAATTCCTTTTCAGCTGTTTCAAAATCTGGCCCATAAAGCCCTTTTCATACCGAGCAAGATAAATATAAAAATATCTCTAAAGATATAGTTTTAAAAATTGTTCACAGTGTTACAGAATAGCATAGTACACTACAACCACAACGATAAAGATGAAGAGCAATCATATCGTCAGGATCACTTTCAGAACAATTTTTTTTTTCAGCTGATGAAATAGAAAACACTGACAGCCAGTCAGAATCCATTAAAAATTTAAAGGCTCACGCAATTTAAAGATACAGAAGACACAACAAGAAGTACACTAATTGAGGTTCAGCTGTCTTTTAAAAGAATATTTGAAGATAATAAGTATTGTGGAAACAATTGTTTATACCATGAGAAATATTGATAAAAAATACATTAAAGTTATAAAACGTCAAGCTGGAAAATTTGTATAAAAATAAAAGTAAAGCTAGAATCCAGTGCTAGTTTCTGGTTACAAGGGATGATGCCTATTTAAAAGCATAATCTAAAAATAAATAGATCATTGTCATTCATCTGGGTGGATGCAAATATATTTATTGTTGTATTTATCATTACCATACTTGATGTCAACAGGCCTTCTGTTATATAAATTAACTTTAATTTCTTAATCATAGCATAACATTAACAATATGCAGAATGAAAAATGGAAAACGACAAGCAGTTACGCTGTCCGAACTATTCATGGGCTGGAATAAGATTCTGATGGTATGATAACCTTGAATAAAAATGTCACGGTTTCAAGGGATTGTGATTACTGCTCTAAAATATGTTCTTTTTAATTGCCTGGGTAAAAAACTAAAACTTTTCCTCTTTTTAACACAATATATTTTATTTTGAGAAACATTTCAAATATTTTGGAGCTGTAAACGTGTCAGGCTAAATGAATTATTGAATTTTGCTGTCTTCATTTGTTTCAAAAACAGATTTTTTTACAATTTAAAATCTCTTCTTTTTTTTTTTTTTGCTGAAGCCACTGTTGTCTTTAAAAAGCAACAAAAAAATGCAAATAAAAAAATTGTTCATATACCTTAGGAAAGGTATTGCAGAAAAACCTCTTTAAAACCTTGACTTTTCCATACTGCGTGATACTTTGAAAACGGTTATCGTCCCATGCCTAGTCCAAACTAAATGCTAAATGTCAGAAACGCTTAATTACCAGCCATTCAGAAACAACAAATAGTGCACTACACTCCTAACAACATGGTAAGATTTATGATCCAATGAATACATATTAAAACTTCTTAACATTACTATTAGGCTACAATGAAAAAAAGAAAGACTTTTTCTTAATTGTTGCAAACAATTTATATGGGCTGAATTTAAACATACAAATTAAATTTACTAATGATTAACTTAATTGGTTTGTTTAAACTTAGCCCATATAAATTGTTTGCAACCACATACCTTAAAAAATGTGGTACAGTAAGTCCAATGAATCTATTTTTTTCAGTGTACTGAGTGACTTATGTTTTTGAAAGTGAGAACAAAGTTCTCACTTTCATTTTCGAACCGCTGTTTTATTTTCAAGCTCTGCGGTAAACTATGGCTGCGTTCACACTGCAGCCAAATGTGGCCAGAGTCAGATTTTTTTGCCCACGTGTGCCTCAGGTAATGACAGTGTGAACAGCCCAAACCGCACAGAATCTGATCTTTTCAGTTCAGATCTGTGCCACTTTCATATGTAGTATTAAATCAGACACAGATCTGATGTGTTGCAATGCGACCGCAGTGTGAATGGTTATGTCAGACATCATTTACTCGTCAGCAGCATAGTAGAATGTCATATAGAACAATTACTTTACCACAGTGAGTTGGTTGTTATTTAGAAAAAAAAAATATGTGAAGGCACAACTGGTGCTTGCCAACCAATCAGGTTAACGAGTGAAGCATTGGTTGATCGCGAAGCTGAAGAGTGTTGGGTGGTGTTGTGGATAGGGGATCCATGCGCAAATGATAGGGCACTTGCATTTTAAGAGGAACTTTCTCTCCGAGAGAAAAACAGGCAGGTGCTCAAGCACCCAAACTCCCCTTCTGCACTTGACTGTTGTTTATAATAAAGTCAAATGAAATAACTCCACAAACAGCCTAAACCAACTCCACCTTCACAGTTTAGCCTGTGGCTGTTTATTAACCCTTGATGAGTTCACAAGACTGGTGGTCAAAAAGACGTGCACCGTGGTTGTCATAAATCACAAATTATCAATGTTTTCAATCACAAGA